GGCAGACCATCTCTGCTTACAACACCTTTGCTACAATGAATCAGGAGGCGCTTTGGAGGGGGACTCACCAGTCTCCTTTACGGTGGAATTTAGGTAATGCTGCCGCCTAGGCGAGCCATCTCACTGTTTGTCCACTATCAATAGTAACGTCATGACCCGCACAGCCAATCAGCGCTGGTTTCTCAGCACTGTGGAGAGGCACTGATAACGATAACGACATTGGCATCTCGCCGGGTGACTCTGCAGGCTGAGTGAGCAATGAAAGTATCCGGTTAACAACCACCCTCACTAGTGCAAGTGGGTGGGCATAAAGGCATAAAACCACATTGAGGTTGCAATCCCTGGAAGAACAGATACATATTGCCCCTTGTAAGATGGTCTTTTAAATGTCTTTCATCATCAATCTGTGATCTCAATCTCTCTCCTAACCAAATCAATCCATCCTCTTTACTTTGGACTAGATTCCCCTCAATTTGTCAGCAATGGAGCAGCCATCAGAACAAGTCCAGTCTGAATTAGACAGTTTCCGAGAGAAATGGCGTGCTGAAGTCTCGGCACGGAACAAGAAGGCATCAGCAGACTCTCAAGCAAGCACATTAAAGGCTTCATCGGTAGCATCATCATCATCATCCGCGGGGCCCTCTCGGAGACAATATGACCAAAATCAAAAGAGACTGCCAACGCGCGATGATGTCGCCCATCATCATGACGCCGAAGACGAGCATGTCCGCACCATGGCCTTTGACGATGATCCCGCCAAAGGCAAGACTGTGCAGTCGTCTCTTGAGCATGCCCCAGCGGCGGACAAGGAGCCAGAGACGGCCCTGGAGTTCTATGAAAAGGCCGTCGACAAGGAGACCTCGGGCAAGCTGGGCGACAGTCTTCACCTCTACCGCCAGGCCTATCGTCTGGACAACCGCGTCGACCGGACCTATCGTGAGAAGCACTTTCCTGGTGTCTGGAAGAAGAAGCAGCAGCAGCAACCGTCAGCTGGAGCAGCAACACATTCCGTTGGCGGTGATACTACCAATCCCTCCAACGCCGCCGCCACGGTGCCCAACACGGCCCACCATTCACAAGAAAGCGCCCCCGTCTCATTATCACTGCCAGACCTCCTTGCCAGCTTTGCCGGGCTGAGTCTACAGGGTGCACCTCCGGCCGTGGAAGGCATGCCGCCGCCCCCGTGCCCCATATCCGAGCTGCCCGATGAAATTCTGGTGCATATACTGCGTGATGTTGCCGTTTTAGACGTTGCCGACTTTGTCCGGCTCTCCCTCGTCTGTAAACAATTTGCCTACCTCGTGGCCACCGAGAACCAGGTTTGGCGGCGGGTCTGTCTAGGGTCCGAGTTTGGCTTTGGCGGCATGGTCTATCACTGGCAACGCGGCATCGCGTGGGAGGAGCTCGACCCGCAGCTGGAACTGGCCGAAGAGGACATCTTTTCCATGGCCGAGCTCTCCCAGCGGCGCGCCGAGGATGCCGAGAGCACCACGCACGAGCTCTATGACGCCGGCGTCTACCCTTCTTGGCAGCGCATGTTTCGCCAGCGGCCGCGGATCCGATTCAACGGCTGCTACATTAGCACCGTCAACTACATCCGCACCGGTCTGGCCTCGAGCAACCACATTACCTGGAACAGCCCCGTGCACATTGTGACCTATTACCGCTACCTGCGCTTCTTCCGCGACGGCACCGTCATTAGCCTGTTGACCACCAACGAACCCGTCGACGTGGTGCATCATCTGACCAAGGCCCACGTGCGCCAGCACGAAAACAAGGCCGCCTCTCATTTACCTTCATCCATCATGTCCAATGCGCTCAAGGGCCGGTGGCGGCTCTCGTCGTCGATTGACAACCCCGACATCCCTCTGGCCGCGGCCGAAGGCGACCTCTTTGTCGAGACCGAGGGCGCCCACCCAAAGTACACCTACCGCATGGAGCTCAGCATGAAAAGTGCCGGCAAGACCAAGAACAACAAATTGACATGGAAAGCGTTTGGTCTATACAATAAATTGACTGATGACTGGGGAGACTTCAATCTGAAGAACGACAAGCCATTTTATTTCAGTCGTGTCAAGAGCTACGGCGTCACAGGCGAGTAGACTAGACAGAAGACATCAGAATTTTTATGAGCAAAATTGTCCGTGCATGTTCAATCATGTTTGTTCCCTCTTGATGTGACAGCTGTCGAATGTTTTGGCAAGAATTTAGTTATTAACAAATAAGTACGAGATCTGTTGTAGATCCGAGTAGTGAGACCATGTCTACCTGGGTAAATAATCACATCGCTAAACTCCATGCTTGAAATCCAGAATAACGCCGATTCTTCTTTCAAATCGGTCAAATCTTTCAGGCCATAGTTCGTTGCACGTGCCATCCACTACCATCCAACGTTTCACGCGTCGTAAATGTCAGATCAAACAATACCAAACGCAGATATCCTTAGAATTGACCAACAATCCCAAGCTCTATCCTGGACATTGGTTGGTGGTTTCTCTTTATTTTGTTTTCAAAAGAACGGGTTGTTTCTTGGCTGGTATTATGAGAAGATTGCTGCCAAGACTCGTCGCTTCGCGCAAAGGGGTATCGAAATGAATTTTCAAGTCAAGCGCTCGCTCTGTGCCCAAATTTATCCAATTGCGGGCTTCGTTTCTGTTTTCAACTGTGGTCGTCACAACTAATCGGGATGTTTGGCGGTTTGTGTTGAGGGTATGTCTGTGGGAGACATGCATGCCGTCTGACAAAAGCCTCCCTAGTAGCGTCCGTATCCATCTATTCTCCTGCCATCCAAAAATTTGGGGCTTCGTCCTTCATAGTACGGGCCAGCAGCCTGTTGCCTCTTCTTGGCCTCAAAAGCAGCACGCTCCTCTTCGTCAAGCGAGAACGCCTTCTTCAGCCAGCCGAAAGCGCTGCGCTTCTTCTTGAGCGTCTTGCCTCCCTCCGAGTCCATATTGGTGACGTTGCTAAGCGTACTCATACCCATGGCTGACGGCTGGTTTCTCAAATAACCCGTGTGCTGATACTGAGTAGCTGACGTATGAGGCCGAGGAACAGCAATAGGGCCCGACGTCCACGGTCGCTGCAGAGGTGAATGAGGACTGGCTTGTACAGGCCGAAAAAATTGTTGATCACTGAGAGGCGACGGTACAGTGTTATTGATGAATACAGGAGGTGAAGGAAACTCTTGCAGAGCATCCGCAAGGGGGTTCAAGGGAGGTCGAGTGTCCACATCTGACGCGTACGCCGAGTCGGGTCCTTGCACCTGCTGGGCATATTGCACACGAGGGGATTGGTACTTTGGCCGATTTAAATTCCGTGGAGGGACTTGAATGGCCTCGGGTGGGTGACTGCCTTTCAACGATAGTCTCTGCCGCAGAGACGTCCTCTTGGGGAGGGCTTCATCATGCTGTGGAGATGTCGGCCACTCCTGGCTTGAAGAGTTTGGCCAGTCTTGTTTTGAGATTTGCCAATCCTGTGGTGGGGTGATTGGTCTCGCCTGACGTGCTGACGTTGGCCTCGGCGGCGAAGCTGGTCTCTGCAGGCTCTGTTGGCTCGGAGAGGCTGTCCTCATCTGCCGTGGAGTCGCTGAGAGTTGTTGCGGGACATAAGTGGAGTCTGGCAATCTCGGAGATGGTGGTCGCTGGATTAGTGGTGATGGGGCCGGCTCAGGCGGTTGTGGAGTATAAGTACGTGGCTGAAGAATATACAGCCCCTCTTCCTCGATGGGACTTGGTCTGGGAGTCTCCTTCTCCTTCTCCTCTTCCATCACAACTGCTGTCTCAATCTCCAGGATGGGCGCTTTCCTGGGAGCTGAATAACGCCGCAATTGCAAAGGTTTGAACTGAAAGTCTGGCATCGTGTCTCTCACATTGGGGGATGAGAGTACCGAGTCCTCAGATGGGCTCCTTGTCGCAGTACGTAGAGAGTTTGTCCGGGAAGAAGAAAAGGATGCCGAATGGGCCCGGCTGGACGACGATCTCTGGGAAGACTTTCTCGAGGACTGTGGACTGAGCACCGAGTGGCGAGAAGAAGCATCCGGGGCCGTTGCTTGCTGGGGCGAGAAGGGAACGCTGAACTGCAGAGGCATCAGGGCACTGGCTCTCAGTGAAAGCTCAAAGGCGCCACTCATGGGGCTCACTGTTGTCCGCCTGCTCACCTCGCCGGCCCTGCGATCCATATCGGCCACCGTCTGCCCCAGTTTGATGAGGAGAGTATCCAGGATTGCAGCGTTCTCCTGAAGCTCGACAAACGCCTTGCTCCAGCCCTCGGCGTTGCCTTTCATGGCCTCGAAGATGTCAATCACGTCTGGTCTGGACGCTTTCCAGGGTTGGTGCTCCTGTCTATTTAGGTATGCGGCAAACTCGTCGGTCGACTTCAAACCTTCTTCCACATCCTTCACACTGGCCTCTAAAGCTGCGGCTGTCCTGTTGACAATGTGCTCAATCTTCTCATTGCCCGTGACAATTTGCAATCTGAAGGCGCGATCTTCCAGCATCTTCTCGAATGTGGTTATGTTTTGCATGGGCAGCTTCAGGAAGTCAATACGTTCCTGGATGTCCTCGGTGGCCATCTTGACATCCTCCATTGTAATTTCCAAGAATTCGTCAACCTCGTCGATATGACCTTGCAAAATATTCACGACCTGCACGTTGCTATTCGCTATCCCATTCAGCAGAAGATAGACGCCAAAGGAAATTTGTGCCATCAACTTAAATAGCTCGTGGTGGGTCTGTCCGGGACGGTATCGCCACAGGTCGCTGTAAAGCTCGTCGTCCACATCAGTCTCCAACAGTCGTGCCCGACGTTCCCTAGCATCGCCAAACCTTAACTTAGGCTTTGGCACGGGCGGGTTGGCAGTAGCTTCGGCTAGAGACTCGGCAAAGGCTGACTGCATGGCGGCGATTGGGTGGAGAGGCACGTTGGCAGCGGCATCTTGTGTCTTCTTCCGCCTGGCCTCTTCCTCATCCCAGTCGTCCAACGAGTCAGCCCTGGATGTTGCCCTAGAAGTTTCCGGGGAACGAAGTGGCTCCCGGGGAGTTGGGGGCGCACTTTCGTCTTCCGAATCTGAAAGATTCAGCATTGACGTCTCATCTTGATGCAGGTACATCGGGAATCCGGCAGTCGCAGCCATGGCGCAAAAATGTTGCCGCCGAAGCGTCGAGCGAATCGAGCTGCGATCTTCCGGGGCGCTGGCCTAGCCGTCTCAACCCCTATGTCCAAACCACGGCGAATATCCCGTGAAACACGGAAATTGCCCCAATTGTCGATCGGCACAGCGCCGCAAGCAGGGTTCAGTGATTCTTCCTTGCTTCAGTGATTATTGGTATAAGTCTGGCAAGCTCGGAGCTCGCAAGTTGTCTAACGTCTTTCAAGGTCGCAATATCGAAATGCCCCTCCCTGTCGTACGCGTATGCCGCCCCGTCAAAGTCGCACAGTGGGACCCAGACTAGACCGATGCAATGGGTTCTTGTTAAATATATGGCCAACAAAGGCTGCAACAGACCGTCTGTATTACTCGGGGCTTGTGTGTGAATGCGTGGCTGTGGTGGAGGAGGTAGTATTTCAATCGAAAGTCGTACCAGTCACGAAAGCTTTCTAGCTACACAACTATCGCAGCCTTGCCCGAGTAAATGGTCCAAGTGTTGTTGTCTGTATTGCCGCCCTTTATTCTGAGACCATTCAATGTCGTTCGAGGGAGAGAGACATAGCTGAGCTTTCGGCGGATCGAGGGATGAGATGGCGTGGCGCCAAATGTAATACGCTGAGAGATTTGACACGAGTTTCGCGTCTTGCTGCTTACCCCCAAGGCTGAACGCTCCAATAAGACCTTGATCAGATTCCCCTTGGGTCACTGAGGAATGGCAAGTTTTGTAATATAAACGAGTGGCAGATGACCGAAAGTCACTTGTGAGCAGAAGCCAAAGGCGAAGAGCGTAATCCTCAAGGCCAGATGGGGCTGAACTCGAGAAGTTATGGTGGTGGGAAAGAAGGGCGACGATGTTTGTTACCCTCGTCGACTGAGAACGGCGATTTCAAGAAGGATCCAAGGTGGAAAGGATGCCAACGAGCGAGGGGAAGGGAAAAAGAAAAAGAGAATGCCGTGTCTGCTGGTTGGCTGCTCGATAGAACAGTCAGACCAGGATTCAGATGAGCGATTCACGTGGTTCGCAAAGAGAAGGATTTTGATTGTAGTCGTAGTAGTCGTAAATAGATGCAAGCTCCTCTCGCCCTTCAACTCGCCAGGTGACAAGGAGAAATAGGAAATGTAGTGGGTTAGGTAGGTAGGTAAACAGAGGTAAGGGACAAGCACACGGCTTACCCTGGGAATGATGAGTGGGATGATGGATGGATTCCTGCGCCTACCTAGTACTACTACAGTACTCCGTACCAGTTACCCCATACATGAAAGACAATCAGAAGAAGGAAAGAAAAAAAAAAAAAAAACCCTTGAGAGTTCCATTTTCAGTCGTCCGGACCCCCTAGGACCCAGGACCAGACGCTATCATTTTCCTTGGGCCTCGTCCGCGTCGAGATGTAATTGCAGAAACGAGACGCCTCGAGAGGCCCAAGAACGAGACCTTGCCCTATTCGGAGCAAGAGTGCTAGCGACGTGCTGCGAGCTAAGTGGAAGTGGCTCTGGGACCCCCCGGTCGTGTTCCCCATCGTCGTTCCTCTTTCCCCTGGGTGTGCCCTGGGTGGCTTGCCGATAAACGTGCTACCACCTGAACCCTGTTTGGCGGCGCTAGAGAGTGCACAAGCTCACCGCTGGCCAGTGAGCACAGCCCGTATCCACCAACTGAAGTGCTGAATTTAGCACAATGGAGACGATTTTTTTTTTCCCTTTTGCTTCTAGTACCACTAAGGAAAGGTCTGTACGGAGTAGGTACCTGTGGTGTGGCCCGTGTGGATGCGGTGCCTGGGCTGGTCGCAGCTGGAATGGATCAAGCAATTCAATGAACTGACGACTGGATGCAACCCCAAAGGTGGCAGCAGTTCATCAAATAATGGCTATTAATCTGATCGATCAATTGACCAGGTAAATAGTGCATATGCAGACTGCAGTAGTTACCGGCAGACCTCGGTCGCCCTTCTTTGAAAGAGTTACTGGTTGCGTTAGAGTTCCCCTTGGTTTTGTACTTTTTTTTTTTTTTTTTTTTTTTTGGCTGTATATGTTTCATATACTCATCTACTTGTCTGTACATCTATTTTACCTGCTGTATCCAGGCGGCAGAACAGACCAGACTCGTGATCTCGCAAGACCAGACCTCACCTGAGACTCTCATTCAGGTGTTGCAAATTCTAACGACACCCTTCGAGAGAGAAAAGGGCCCAGCCTAGGTACAGAGTAGAGACTGCGCTAGAGTCTAGACCCAAATTCCTAGCATTGGGTGGTCAAAAGTGCATACGATCCGCGAATTGTACAGGGGCCAAGCCAGTCGATCAACTGAGGGCCTAGTGCAGTGAGTAGTGGTAGTACACAGCTACTAAACGCAAGCCTGATAAAGAAGACTGACTGAGAATGGAAATGTCCCCGCTGTGGCCATGGACCTGTTCACTTGTCTATTGTCTAATTCTTTTTTCTATTTCTATACGTTATTTCCCGATCGCACTAGATGAAGAATCTAGTTGTATTTCACCCGGCTCATGGGACAATTAATTACGTGAACGTTTATGCGTTGGAAGTGAAATTCCCACCTCCTATTCTGGCTCGTTGACATATCTGGAGTAAGTCAGGAAATTACCCATGGTAGATAGTCGGGTGTTACGGTACAATCCCTACTGAGATCACTGGTGGGATTGAATACACAGTAATGTCACTCGGTCACTAGATCCGAGGCAAGGTGCTTAATGTATTGTCAAAGGGTCCTCCCGCTTAGCCCCCAATTGAAAGACTCTCTCCTCTTTCTCAGACGATAGTTCCCATGTCCCTCATCTTTCTGAGAAATATGACTTGGCGATCTTAGATATCTACGATGCGTCCAGCGTTTCTGCGTAATTGCGAGAAACCCTAAAGCAACGCTGGCATCTCACGGTGCTCTGTTCAGTGTCGATCATCGACTTGCCGCGACTATCGTTGAGCAAAGTGGCGCCGACTCCAGGAACTGATTGGGTACAGATACAGTGAGTAACCCCCCTAGAAGTCCAAGACTGATCAATTGCCCCCCTGTCAATCGCATCACTACATACATCAACCGAAATGGGCTGAGGTAACTCGTACTATGTAAGTAATAAACCCTCCAATCCTTTTTTTTATTCTCTTTTTCTCTCCAACAGGGCCTTGACGTTAGTAGCAGGCGCGCACAAAAGCTACGCAATCTTCTCCCCTCCTATATCTTGCATTGATCAGGATTTCAAGAATAGACCAAAATGCTTCTACGACGTTCTGCAATCTTTCTGGCTTGGGCACTAGCAATGATAGCGACGGACCTGACGGACACCAGAGACCAGTCGCAATATCGACTATAGCAGACTATCTGTCGCCTTTGCTAGTTCTATGCAAAGCGGCGTCTCGCAGCGTCTCCATTGTTGCCCGTTCCTAGTGGATCTATCTAGCAGATGAACCCAAGGTAAAGGTAGCCCAAGGTGACAGCACCTAGGATGAGCGATGCGTAAGTCGGTAGTGTTTAATTGAATTATTGGGTACATGACTGCTGGTACGCGTCTCCAAGTGGGCTGTTCTGACGTGCCTCGCATTCAGTAAAAATCGATAGTCTTGTCAAAAGCCGTACCCAGCAAATAAACGAACGCCGATCTTACGGAGTAGGTACTGGGACGATTCGCCCGGATGCATGTGAAGTTTTACGAACCGAACCTGCACAATACATTTTAGGTAACCTTAGAAAGAAAGATGACACCAAAAGCGTTGTCAATATATTGCTGACAGCGCTGCAATGGTGGGTATAGTATTGTGTATTGTCATTTCCTGTTGTATTAGGATTCATGAGCAATTCATCGTGCATCCTTATAAGACCCTCGCACCGACACGGCTGGTATTTATTCATCTCCCCGGCTCTTGATGCAGCAAAGAAGATATTCATCAATTTCAACCCAACCACACACAAGACTGTTCAAGCGGTCTTGCTTTTCACTGCAGGGCCTCACTTTTTACATAGGTACCGCGCATTCAGTGATGAGGCGGAAAGATGGTGGCTCGTATTGAGTTGTCCTGACGGCCCATGCCGCGGACGGGATATGCTCCTTTGATGTTAAAATAACTGCCGCCATAATCCTGAACTCTTGATAAATCTTTGATGCGATCTTGATCAGCTTGAGGATGAGCGACAATCGCCGGAGTGTATATAGACGTTATGGTTCTTTGCATTATGGTACTTCAAAAGAAGGAGCAGCAAAACCGTTCGCAGCGTGCATCTCACATCAGAATGCAATACTGAACTAATGGCAGGAGATGCAACCCAAGCTGCTGATTCAACTTGATCTGTCTTTCTTTCCGTCGCATCCAAAAAAAAAAAAAAAAAAAAAGCTCCATGGCTTTGGTCAGGGTTTATATTCGACATATTCCCCGGCGCATCTGCTCCGATGCGTCACTCTCGACTTGTCATGAATCGGACATTCACTCCAGGTAAAACTTGGTGATAGATGTGCAGTCGAGTCTCTCTGCCACTACGGTTTTTCGCCATGGCAGGCAAGAACCAACTTGTTTTCCACTGTGCATTATGTACTCCTCCGCCGAGGCAGATCAGCAGTGCTGAGCGCCGGCGGCCAGCTGCAACTTCACCTTCAAAGCTATCAATCTAGTGTACATTATTCGCCAGTAGCAAATGCCTAGCCTACATGATTTGCTGCTTACATTACGCCTTCCGCCACCACAGATGCAGTATGCAAGTCAATATATTGACGGCTGCCCACTGCACGTGGTTGGCGGGAAAGTCGAGCGCTCAAGCATGCCAACTTCTCCGCCAGCCAATTGCAATCGAGGCCCCCAAAAAAAGCCTCGCTTGGGCCTCTGAATCTTGAAACTTGACCCTGCATTTATTCGTCTCTTTTTTATACAATGATTTGAACTGAAATTCGATATCGTCATTCTTGCCACTTGGATGTGCCTTTACATCTTGGGCCAACAAAGGAGGGAAGAAAGAAAAATGCTCATGATCAATCATTCAGGCGAGCTATTTTACTTGCATTGTGCATTTGTCTTCTCAATCGCTGACGAGGCAGTCCTCAAACGTTGGGTGTTGGACAAGTCTCTCGTCTGCTAGTCTTATATCTCGGGGCTTTGCCCCCTTTCCGCTTTTTGGACATGACACCGAGCCCTTTGGTGGAATTCTCGGAGAACACAACCAACTGCAAAGCCGCGTCTGCACGCTGGAAGTTCAGGCCGCGGTCCGATCCTGGTCGGATGACCACCCATCTCCAGCTTTTGGCGACCGGGGACCTATCCCAAGGGAGAGAGGGTTAGGAGAAAATAATTGCTTGGCCCAGCGGCTGAAAGCGAGAGAGTGAGCGACGGCCACATGGCATCGAGACGGAAAGTTCTTGCCCGCCCGGTAAACCATCCAACCCTGGTTATTCCTCCCTATCCAATAACGGGAATCCCAACTAAACCCAGTTCACCACGCGAGAACAAAAACGCTTTCCATTTCCTGTGATACTACTACTTCCTATCAGACACTGTTTCGTCCGAAAAGTCGAGATGATCTTAATGATGACGAGATGTCCTGAAACCGCCGCGGCCGTTGGTGCTCATGGTCACCGTTGAGCCGATCGTATCGGGGGGCGCCTAGTATGGAGCTTTCCGAGCGCAAACACAGACATCTCGGTGATCTTTTTTTGAGCTGGACGTGTAATTCCGAGATCTGGGTCAGGTATCGTAGAGGCGCTTCGCCACCTGATCGGAAATATGAGACCAGCCAAACGCCCCAGCATTACGAACAAGCAGTGCCGAGTGCCAGATTGCTAGGGCCACAACACACACACACACATGGCAAAGACAGAGACTGACACTCACAATCAATCAGTCATACCACTCACTCACTCACTCACTCACTCAACACGCGCGCATCGCTTGCAGATTCGACGGACTGAACCACAAATTAGTATTGTCCAGGGCCCCTGTACAAAGTGGGGTCACCCTCATAATTGGAGGTCCCATTATCCATGTTTCTCAAAGCCGGACACGCACCCAAAGGCACCGCGCATCCCGACACTGGCGACGCTGGGCCACAGCGGCGAAGGATTCTGCTACATGCATTACTACTGCAAAGGTTGGTGCGGGCGATGCAGCAATATGTGACAAGTCTGTGTGAATGCGACTGTAGTCGGCGTAGGTCCATGCAAAGCGCCTGGCTCATTCAAACCCAGCCCCATACCCAGACGCAGCCTCATATGTTCGAGCGTCAGCAAGAGGGAAGAAAGAAAAATAAGGTGTCCTTGATACACAGAGAGACTGAATCACATCATCATCAAACACACACACACACTTACACACTTCTTGTCTTCCCTTTTTTCATTTCTAATTCTTGGGTCCATTTTTTGTCCCATTCTGAGTCTTCGTCAGCTGGTCCTAAAAGGGTCCCGAGGTTCACCTTCTTAGCCTATATCCACTGGCGAAAGGCTAACCCAGCTGAAATTTAGACCAGTTTTCTAGATTCTCTTTACTAAACCTACTAGTTCCCTCGCTCCGTCCCCTTCCTATTTCCACTTTTGCTTTCCTTGGTCTCCTCGAGCTGTTTTGGTTCCAGAGAGCAAACGGTCGATTTGGGAAAAAGCTGACAACAAATTCTCGATTGGGTTCTGGGCTTCACTTGGCAGCATTGCAAACGACAAAGACCGCCGAGCCCACGATTTCACACATCTCTGGATCGTCCCGCCTCAAGTGACAGGAACAGCTACCGCGATCCGGCCGTGGCGCGCCGGTAGGAACACGGGGATTCGGCTCGGGGCCTGAGGAATTTTGCTTTTTTGGGGCATGTTTGGAGACAAGATGGTGAAGGCATTCAAGTTTGGAGACGATCTATGGGATCCGTCACATCGCTTCGAGACATCATGGATACTACCACCATATGCTCTATTCGCGTGTAGAGCCTTCTTTGTACGTCCATGAAACCCTTACCATCTCGACGATCCGTGGTCCAAAGTGGAACAGTATAGGATCGCGGGGGTTCTTGGCACTCAAGTGGCTTTGTTACTAATAAGCTCCAATCACCAGTCTCTATACGCTTTCACGACTCTCTTCACCACCATCGGCTACCAGTGCGTGCACCCAGCCGCCGGGTCGACTTATGCCTGCGAGGCCTCGGCCGCCAGCTTCTCCTACTTTACCGTCCTGACGTACTGGGGCCTGGCCTGGTACTTCCTCTTTGCTTCGATTCACACCTTTACCTATGCGCGCTGGAATGTCGCACTCCTGGACAAGTGGCCGCGGCCTCTGCAAGCCATGCACGCCTTTTACCACACCACCATCACTACTTACCCGTTTCTCGTGACCATTGTATACTGGGGCATCCTGTACACGTACGGCAGCGCCTGGTTCCCAACAAAGTACGCAGCCTGGAGCAATCTGTCGGAGCACGGCTTCAACTCCTTCTTTGCCCTGTTCGAGATCTTCGTGACCCGCACCAACCCGGCGCCATGGATTCACATCTTCTGGCTGATTGTGGTGCTGGCCCTGTACCTGTCACTGGCCTACATCACCTATGCGACCAAGGGCTTCTTTGTCTACAGCTTCCTCGACCCGACAGTCATGCAGCACGGCCTGGTCGCCGCCTACGTCTTTGGCATCGCCATCATAATTGTCATCATCTTCTCGCTGGTCAAGGGCGCCGCCTGGTCGAGGCGCTGGCTCACGGAGAGCAAGCTGGGCATGGAGGGTAAGATGGCCCACGGCGGCCTTCCAGGCACGACCCGCAGCGCCGCGAGCAGCTGGCGCGATGAGCAAGACGTCGAAATGGCTGCATCTAGCCCGGGTCTGACTGCCGGCAAGGAGGATAGGAGAACATGATGCTCACTAATTGCATGTGAATCGGAAGGAAGAAAACCCAAAGAAAGGAAAGAAAGGAAAGCAAGAAAGTTTTTGTTATTATATTCCATTTCTTATAATATACTCTAAAAACTCCCACAACCAAAGAGCGGCTATCCCTCAATGCCGCAACGTCGCAAATCCATCGAGTCTTCAGATCCACCGGCAATAAACACTGTCGATCATTCAAGTCAGCGGTCAGGGGTGGGCCTGGTTGACGTGCCGAAATCTCTTTTGTTGTCTCAATTGGTCAATCAACTTCCGGCGCCGAGAATAGTTGGGGTGTGAAGGTTGAACCAGTTCCTCGCTGTCTCATGGGGTCAAAAAAGAAGGAAAATGCTCTTTATTGTGGTGATTGGATCCGGGGTAATACACATCAGGACCACCAACGACACCGAGATACCTTCATTGTATCAAAACAAGACACAGGCTTACGACGGCATTGCTCATCAAGTCACTAGGAGAGACAATCTGTCAAGAATATATATGAATATAATGTTGATGAAACCACCCATTGTATCATGGTTCAAATGATATAAAAGTGAAATGCGATTGAACTGTATGGTCTTTGGATCGAATCTATAATGTACGCCAATATGTAGCCTAATGGGAAAATGGTTCCAGCAACAAGTATCTACCGTGAATGACTCCGTACCCATGCAGCAAAGATGTTTTTAGTAGTTATATACATATATACACATCACACAAAACTCAGCACTTGAGCGCAATACCCCTCCTGAGCTCCGCTTCCCGCTGCTCCATCATGACTTGTGCGCCAACGAAAAGCGCAACGCAAACAGTAATCAGCAATGAAAATCCTGCTTACAATTAGTAATCGGTCGTCCATTGTTTGTGTTTGCGATCTCGATCAAGTACTTACCGGATATATCTTTGAAAATTCCTCGAATGATAGCTTGGAGCCCTTCAACGCCGACCGCATATCCGACAAGGTTGGCCATCATCATCATGAAAATGTTGACAACCGCACCGACTCCGCTAATCATTCTGTAGGCGGTAGGTCTGTTTTCCCATTTGCGTGCTGGGAACAAGGCACGTGCTGTCATCTCTGGCAACATGAAGAACACTATGAGCCAACCCCAGATGAGCAGGCGCAGTTTGATATCGTGCCAAAGCGCCACGAATGTAAATGTCAGAATATAGTTGAATATTGACCGGACGATGGACTGGGGGGTTGCAAAGCTCGATCCTCCAAGCGGAATGTATATGTATCGCGTCAGCCAGCGATTGTAAGATCTATGCCACGATCTCCAAAAGGCGAGAGTCGAGTAATTGTTGCTGACACAACGCAGCATGTTTTCGGGTGGGTCGATGCCGTCGATCAGCGACCATAGCCGGAAAAGCCGCCATGGCAAGAGAAGTTTCAGCCAGATCAATATCAAACTGAAGTAGCTGAGCAGGCTAAGTTGAGCGGCAGAATACTGGCCCCATGTTGGGTTGGCTTTGGAGATGGCCTGTACATAGTCGTAATGGAGAATGACTTCCATCACCAACAGTGTCAGAGCGAAACGAATACCATATCGTATAGTTCGAGAACGCTCGACTGTGGCCGGTTGATAGCGTTGCTGGGAGATATAATCATTAAAGGTGAGAATAGGCCCGGTCAAATATAAAGGAGCGTAAATCGCGTAGCCAATGTAGTTGCGGAAGCTGAAGTCTTTTGCTTGCGCAGGAATGGTGATGCGATCTCGTTCGCTTAGGGAGGCAGGATCGACTTGTTTCTTCTTGAGTATATCAGCCAATTGTTCATTCCGTCAAAAATGAGAGAAGATGGAAGAAGAGAAAGCAATGTCTATAAGGATTAGAATCTCACCTCTACTGGACTATAGCTTCGTCGGTCCAAACTCCAATAGTAGTCCATGTTGAAACTGATCAGTCGTAGGACGGTAATGTTGAACAGAATCTGCCAGCGGCTCATGATACCACCGTAGCTGTCCAACCACTCGGCCCAGGAGACGAGCGCAGACTTGTGAGCAGCCAGATCCCCCGTCACCGAGCGAGACACAAACATGGCCATGTTTGCCAGCTTGTAGCCCGAGAAGGTCTCGTTGGCAAAGAGGATGCCAATGTTGAAGATCCATGTTGCAGCTGGAATAGATTTCCGGGGCGTGCTAGTTGCAATCTGGTAATTGACGTAGAGAATAGCCAGGACCTTGAAAGCAGATACACCATGCAGTGCGAGCAAGAAGATGATGGCGAATCCAAAGTCAAAAGACGTCCGCTGCTTGAGTCTATGGTCCGCCTCTTCTAATGTTGGTCTCGATGACCTAGCATTCGACGCAACCGGGTGTATCACTGCATTGTAGATTCGTCGGAGAAGGGGGTGGAAGAGCAGAAGTGCGCTCATGTAAGGTATGTTCTTGCGAAACGTGAAATATTGCGCATCTGATAGATCCTGTAACAAGTTCAGTGGCAGCTCGTAAAGAGGGACCAGTTAGGCCAATTGGATGTGCTCTCACAATCTTGCGGCCTGGTATCCAGCCTGGTGCCAGGTATGGCTCGAATCGCTTGTACTGAGGATTGGACGCTACACATGGGTACATATGTCATCAGTCGGGGCGTTCTCCGTGCTGGGTGGAATCGATGCACCAAACATACGTGTCGAGGCAGTGTAGGCAGTCCAAAACATGGCTGGGATACACATGCCGATTATGAGGTAGTAGAGGAAGAACTCTGGAGTTTTCCATTTTGAGGGCGTGGTGCTGCCGCTGAACCTGGCGGCGCGCTCCTTGCTTGCAGAAACATCGCCACGGGATTCGACAACAGTCTTATAGGGAGTCGAGGACGATGTGGTGAATCGGGTGTCGAGGGTATCGAGGTCGTAGATGCTCCGAAAAAAGGAGAGTACGCCCATGATGGGCAAGGTGCGCTCGTCTAGGAGAGCAATATGTAGGGTACAGGTGAAAGTAATAAATCAAACGAGTGTGATGGTGTTCATTTCATGCCTGCAGCAGAAGAAGAAGCAAGCAACATGATCCCCTTCCCTGTTCTTCTTCTCAAGCCAAGTTGCTTTAAAGGTTGTGATGCGGTTCGGGCCAGGAGACAAAGTGGACAGGCCGACGGCATTTCCAATGCAGTAAGTACATAGGCAGGCGGCTGAGCTCTCGAAACACGAGCTTCAGGACACGGCGCGCGCAAGAAAAAGGGCCCCTAGTAGACCACTTAGGCTAGGCTCCAGCATAAAAAGGCCTGCCAACGCAGCGGTAGCCAATGATCATGGTGCTAATAATTTCTCCTTGGCGAAAAAGACCTTTGAACCCCTGATTTTCAGTGTGTGGGGTACCTTAGAGGCACCGCGATTTACACCACTAAAAAAAAAAAAACTTGGGTAGGTGGGCTAGATACTATATTAATTGTCCGCGCTCCCTGCTAATCTGCTTCTGCTGCTACATAGCACACACACATGAGTAGTACCAGGACTGCCTGTTTTGCGCAAAATCAAGTCACATATCCCAAGTGAATGATACCACAGAATAATCATCTATGCACATGTATATAATATGCACGCCATATTCCGTACATTGCTGTCATGCAGTAGCATTCTCTTGTACACAATTCGGCCCGTTACCATGGGTTGTATCCCATAAGTCACATCAATACACAGCAGTCTGCAACCTGCTTGCTGTCACGGTTATACACACGACAGAATCGTAACCCCAACCATGACAATATGACCAGCCCAGTGGCACGGAAAGGCGATGAGAGAATCTCCGCGCAACTGTTCCCCCGGTTTCTCTGCGGCGCACATGAGCAAGTCCCACGCCCTCCTAGACTCTGGTCCCGCTCAATTCCAGAAGAATTTCCCCATGATTCCCCATGTCTTTTTTTCTCGACAGCTGATCAGTAAAAGCCGGGGGTTTTATCAAGACGGGGTCTCGTTGGGGTACATCGCAGCGTAGCGCAACACCCGGCATTCGCAATCCTAGTTGCATCTTTATTTCCCTCTTCCTTTTCTACGATACGTCACTCGTCCAATATTGGGGTGTCGGCGCTGCGTGGTTTTCTTTGATCCTTGAGAATGACACCGAACCCTCGCGGCTCTTTCCCGGAAGAGCCAAGAGTTCAGATGGATACAGGAAAATATTGTCTTGTATCATCTCGCCTAGGCATTTGTAGTCCATTATTATCTGTATTGCAGGCGCATGCTTTGCCATTTGATTACGAGTACGCAGTATGGTCTATACTATTATCCTATACACTCCCATGTCAGAGACAATCAAACGGCTCGGGCGGCTTGGCACGGTGACACCAAGTGCCGAAAAGAGACCAATAACCAATGGCCTGGTCCCCGGTCAGTTCGTGAGATACTTTTTGGTTTGGTCGGTCAGCAGCGTCACTGGTATAACCCGCAAAGACGGACACCATGGTGTACTGGCTTAGCCTCGTCCAAAGACACCAATCCACCGCTCCTGTTACTTCTCCTCATCCTCCCTCTTCTTTCTCCTCATCTTGATTCTACACTACTGCTCGTCACATCAGATTAGAACATACCCGGCTGACCCACATCTCACCTGCAGATAATAGATAGTACAATGTATGCTGCACCTCCCACGTCCCCATCATGGACCTTGAACCCCTCCCTCAGACCTATCAACGGCCTTCAGCCTAGTTCTCCTCCAAGTCACGATGGTCAAGAGTACAGACGGGACCTAGTGCCCGGTCCGGGGGCCACCATCAAGATGAGATTCGTGAGGCGAGCTTTGCTTGAATCATGTCTATTCCCGTCTAGCCGACGGCCCCGACTTGAGGTATAAAGACATGGACGGCATCCGTGGGAGGATCATGATATAGTTTATCAAAAATAGCCAAGACTTGAACCAATCCACAACCGGTGCGCCCTCGCATGACCGTTGTGACTACTCTGTCTCTTTGACGCAGTATGCCTCGTCTCAGCAGTCTCGTTCTGAGCTCCCTGATAGCCTCGGTCAGTGCCGTGCTTCCCACTGTCCAGGTCGGTTGCAATCAGTACGCTGGATATTCCATCTCGTCCGGCATCACCAAATGGCTCGGTCTTCGATATGCTGCTCCTCCGGTTGGCAATTTAAGGTTCAGCCCTCCGGAAGACCCGGTCTGCAACAGCGGTACACAGACGGCCACCGCGGTAAGAGCTCGATAACGTTTTATTCTTAATACTTTATCCATCATGTAACTTTAGACTAAAGCCAGATTCATAGCATGGTCCAGTCTGCATTGGAACAGGCGGTAGCGCCAACAACACTAAGCTGTCAGAGGACTGCCTGTTCCTGGATGTGTACGCACCCACCAATGCGACCACCAAGTCAAAGCTGCCCGTCTTCTTCCATATCCAAGGTGGAGGCTTCAACCAGAACTCCAACCCCAATGTGGACGGCACGGGCCTCATCACTGCCAGTGACAACTCCATAGTGGTTGTCAGCATCAACTACCGTGTTGGCGCCTACGGATTCCTCACCGATGGCGGCACAGCACTCAAGGCTAACAACGGATTGCGTGATCAACGAAAGGCCTTGGAATGGGTCCAGAGATATATCACGCAATTCGGCGGTGATCCGGATCACGTCGTACTGGGCGGTGAATCAGCCGGAGCGGCAAGCATTAGCCTTCAAATGACGGCATATGGAGGTCGGGACTTTGGTCTTTTTCAGTAGGCGTCCCCTTTCCTCGGATTCTAGGTCTTGCACAATCCCATTTTCCTTGGACCAAATGGTCGTTTCCCTTGACTAGCCAATTTGGAAATTTCATGCGCTGGAGGCATAATTGCCGTTACTTACATTAACTATTGTAAAATCTGAGCTAATCCAACAAATCATAGTGCCGCGGCTGCTGAATCCATATCGTTTGCTACAGTCCTCACCGCCAGTGAGGCATCGTATCAATATGATATTCTGGCGATACGCCTGGGATGTGTTGGATCCGACACACTGGCTTGTCTACAATCCAAGACCACGGCAGAGATACAAGCCGTGAACACCAACTCTCCGTATCCGGGGAATTCGGCGGCTCCGCTGTACATGTACAATCCAGTGATTGACAAGGACGTCCTCACTGACTACACCTACAATGCCTTCAAGACGGGACATTTTATCAAGATTCCCCTCATTGCCGGCGACGATACCAACGGAGGTACAGTCTTTGCGCCGTCGACCACCTCGACGCTGGCAGAGAGCAACATGTGGCTGCGCACCCAGTTCCCACGGCTCACCCTGGAACAGCTCGGCAAGATTGACGAGCTCTACCCCAACCCAAACGCGACGGCCTGCCCAAGCAGCGGCTGCTACTGGCGCCAGCTTGCCAACGCCTACGGAGAGATGCGCTACATGTGCCCGGGTCTGTTCATCTCGACCGCGCTCACCAAGTACGGCGTCTCCAACTCTTGGGCCTACCGGTACAATGTCGAGGACCCCAAGCAGGTGGCCCAGGGCCTGGGCGTGCCGCACACGGTCGAGGCCGACGCCATCTGGGGGCCCGACTACGTCGACTCGAGCATCAGCGTGCCCTCGAGCTACCTCGCCAACGGCACCAATGCCGCCGTGATCCCTGTCATCCAGGGCTACTGGACAAGTTTCATCAGGAGCTACGATCCAAACACCTATCGCTACCCCGACACGGCAGAATGGGAGGAGTGGACGGGCGGCGATCAGCAGCGCATGTTATTCGAGACTGGAGGTAACACAACAATGGAGACGGTCGACCCAGGTTTATGGGCAAGATGCAATTTCTGGTCAAGTATTGGCGTGGAAATTTTGCAATAAGTTGAGTGTGTAACAAGAGTATTGAAGTGTTTGCCTGCGAGTATACCCTTGCTTGTGAGCGGTCCTTTATATATTGAAAACAAAAACGTTCTTTCAACATTATGACCCAACGTATGTGAAGTTGTGATATTTATAGCATGATAAGTGATAAAGGTGAGAGTAATACAACACGATCAAGTCCAGACTTCAATAATATACCACTTACTATAAATATGCTACAGGGAAGAATATACATGATATCTAGGGTTCACAGAGGAGAAAATCTTTTTTTACTTAGTATACAACGATAAAAGAAGATTCAACCAGAGAGAAAATGGCTTTACATACTATATCAAGAAACACAAATCTGTTATACTCCGAGGACCGTGCAATATACTGCAGCTAAGAATTATGAGAATAGAGGACTCAGCGAGTCAGTAGTCGGCGCCTGCGCCTAGCGTCGAGTGCTGCTTCGAGTTCTTCGATTTCCTGTGGCGTACGGCCCACGGCGCGAGCGCGCCGGCGCTCTAGCTGGTGCAGCCGGGCCCGGGTTACGCCGCCCTCGGCACGAGGAGCTGCTCGCTGACGCTGTACAGTGGCACGCGCGGCGGCCTCGGCCTCGCCTTGCCGGCGCAGCTGATGCTCCTCCATGATGCCATCGGCAATAGCCTGGATGCGGTCGTCTTCCGCTTGACTGTGGGCTCGCCACTGCGCGGGCGTCATCCGCCGGCACCTTGCAAGCTCGCTAAACGCGCCGAGCATACAATCCGCCAGGCTCATCCCCCCGGCCGCCGGATCTCGAGCTGGTGCACGTACGCCTGCCGCCTGTTGTTGACCCGTCCTTGGCTGTGGTCTCTGGGCGACGTGGGGGTCAAACGGCGGGCTGCGTAGCCGATGTGCTCGCTTTGCTGTGGGCTGGTACCTGAATCCCGTGTTCTTCAGTTCGAAACCTTCGGGATCATAATACTATAGGCCGGTGAGATATTAGCAACTATCAAACTTCAGGATGGAGCCGCTTTCTCCTGGACACACACCTTTCTATACACTGTCTCGCCTCCATTAAACCAATTCTCCACTAGGTCGTTAGGATACTCTTCCGCGAGATCGAAAAGGGATTTCTTTCGAAAGAAGACATCGACCCACATTCCCTCTTGCCGCTCGTCGGGAAGTTCTACATGAGACCCCAAGAAGGGAGCGTTAGTAATTGATCGGCATTTATACTGTCCCGGCAAGACCAAGACCAGTTTCTCCATGGAAAGGAGAGGAGAGGAGAGGAAAAGAAAGAACCAACCATCCAAATCGTGGGCAAAATCTGCCAAGGACTGACACTCCCAAACATCTCTGCCTCTGGTATATGTGCCTTCGTTCACGTTGATCCACATCTGACCTCCGTCACGGTAGCCGCTTCGGTGCCATCCTGCTCCCCTGACGTCTCTGTTACCAGCGGCACGCCGGGCGCGGTGGATCCGTTCTGGCGCCATTTGCCCGTTTGTGGTAGAGCACGACTCTCAGTCAGGTATATGTTACAGTGTGATGGTTAGCCGGAGAAAAAAAAGAAATTCCCAAAATGGAAATAGAAAAGCAAAAAGACAAGAAGATGAAGCTATCCAACCTTTTGACTTTGGGTGAAAGAAGAAGGAAGTTAGGAGTGGAAAGTGAAAACCACACAATCTTCATGACCCCCCCTGACCCATGGCTTAGCAGCGCGCTATCGCGCTAACGTCAAAGTTTTTTGCAACATGACAGTGGTGGACGATAGCGATGTTTGTTGAAAAATACAGTGCGAAGTAGATGAAAGGGAACTTTTTGTCGAACCCAAACCCATATCACGCATTGGGATGCATAGGTTTGATGTTATTGATGTTTGGAGAATGGCTTATATAATAACTCGTCTAGAGACTCTATACTCGAACCAATCTAGCATGGATCATATTCCGGGTCAGCTAAACTAATGACTATAGAATCTGTTCGAGTCTTTAGCCGCATGGCAGACCTGGACTAGGTACACATAGTATACGTGGACGGATCTGCGGGCGCTCACATTGGCTCATCTTTCACCGTGACTTTTCTGTGTCATGTAGCAATCCGCTTTCTGGCTCTCACCTAGTACAAGGACTTCGAATGTATCAAAATAATGTTGTTCTGGCCTGGCTGACTGCCAGTATCAACTATCTAGTGGGGCTCAATCAAGAAGTAGAAGGTCTCGTTTCTATACTCTCTCTCCCTCTCTCTCTTGCCGCCATACCCACTAGCATATGGCATGCCTGTACTTGATACTTGCTACTATATCGGCGATTTGGTTTATTGCACCTCCGGTCTACCATGCTCATTATATCCTCTCTCCTTCCTGGTAATCCCCGTTCATCGTAGTCAAGAGTTGTCTGCTTCTTTCGTTCGTGAATTGCCAATAGACGCATCATATTTGATGATCTTCGAGATATCAGACCCGCATGTTGTACAGCACTTCCATGGGTCACCAAAGATAGGGCTTCACGACTCTCAGAGTATCTGAGAGTTCTCTCAGCTCTAAAGATACCGACACTTTTCCTGACGAGATTTGGCAACTCGGAATGACTAGATGCTCCATTGATCCATTCTCCGCATGTTCCTCCACCTTGGTCCGACGCTACGTTCCAGAACTGGTGTAATGCAAGGAGAAGGCTTCGAGCGAAGCCCAGAAAGGCGAAAACATCGGTTACAGTTGACGTTTGAAAGCAATCTCAAAGGAACAGACAATTTGCAAAACCTTCAGGAGTGTGCGCACTACTAGAGGAGTTGTTCTCCATGCCTTGATGCTTGACTCCTAATCTGCACTCCGTACACTTGAACTCCAGGCAGGCCACTCAGAATCTTGGTCCTACAGAATCATCTGTGTTGACTATCTAGAGGTACCTTCTCTACCTATGTAGAGACATCCAGTCTCAAACTCAACTCAAAAACAAAATTTCCCAATATTACGTATAGTGTACAGGAATGCAATAAACTCCGTTGTGCAAAGGTTTGTTCCTTGTGCAAATGCTCACTGATCGTTTCTCATGACCAAGCAAATCCAGCTTGAAGCCTTATTGGAAGGGGCGGATATCAAATTAAGACACCTTGAACACCGCGCTAAATGACCTCAAACCGCTGTACCGAGACATGCCAAAAGGAATCAATGATACCTACTGTTGTTGACACTGATCCTGGCCATTGCCAGGGATCAAGCGGTGACCATTTATCGAATGGTCATTTGCTTGGTCATTTGAGCCTTGCTCGAGGAACCACTTGCACCGACACTGGCGGATGCACCGGCCTTCTTCTCAAAGACCTTCCAGAACTTCAAACTCTCATCGGCAGCTAGATTGATTTATAAATTAGCATCTCCCATTCCTGTACCTCATGTTGAATATTGTATCAAGGGAGTACTTACCAGCAGTTGCCAGCATTTGGCCGTCAGGGCTGAGGCAGCTGTGAAGAACGCGGCTCTCATGAGCAGGGATCTCGACATTGCGAACCAGGGTAGGGTAGCTCCAGATGCTCAGGGAGTTGTCGGGGAAGCCGCTCGAGCTGACAATCTCCTTGTAAGTCGTGCTCCAGCGCAAGCTGGTGACTTGGGATCCAGTATCAATGCTGTTGACACGGGCACCAGACGTGGTGTTCCAGAAGTGGATGTGGCGGTCGTAGGAGCCGCCGCCGGTGGCCAAGAGGTTGGCATTCCACGGGCACCAGGCAAGAGCCTTGACGGCAGCCTTGTGGTTGGTCTTGGTGAACTTTGGAACAGCCAAGGAGCGGGCATCCCAGATGGAGACCAGGTTATCATTGCCGCCAGTAGCGAGCTGGGCACCATCGGCACGCCACTCCAGACCACAAACCTCGGAGGTGTGAGACACGAGCTCGGCAACCTTGTGCTCGGCGATACGAACATCGTGGTTGTAGACAAGGCCGCTTCGGGCACCAGTAGAAAGAAGGTGCTTGTTCCAGCCCATGACACCAACACGGGTATCGTGGCCGAACATGCTGCGGATCTTCTGACCCTCGGCAACATCCCAGATCTGGACCTCACCGGTTCCAAGACCTACACTTACGTAAGCGCCATCGCCAGACCACTTGACGCTGCTGACATAGGTGTCGGCAGAGGTCTCCAGCAGCTGGTTGACGCTACCCTCCTCAGCAGACCAGACGTAGACAGTGCGCTCAAGACCGATGGCAACCTGGTTCTCGGAGCTCCAGTCGAGCAGGTTCAGGTAGTAGTCATCGATCAGGCCAGGGGCATCCAGTACGCGCTCTGGGGCAGTGGCAACGCGGCGCCGGAATTGGGCCGAGCTGGCAGGGTTTCTGAGCGGACGGTTGTACTGCTGTCGGAGATCAATGGGCTTGGAGGATTCTGGAGGAGCAGGCTTGAACTGAAGAATTCGAGTGTTCAAGTTGACGCCACATGCGCTAGCCAGCGAGTCTTGGTAGGCAACACTATTGGGCGACGGCCTCGAGTATGTCGTGTTATCATCATCCTCATCATCGTTGATGTTCAAACTCTCAAGGGCAGCAAGTGCATCATCTGCGGCAGAAGATAGCACGGTAGAACTCTCGGATGTGCTGGTCTTGGTTCGCTGCTTTTCCTGAACGTCGAGCTTGCCAGAGCCTACATTTGCAATGGCAGAGCTGTTGCTACGGTTCGGGATGAAGCGATCAGCAGCATATGTCAGAGTAGTCTTGCTAGCCTTTTGCTTGGCTGCAGTCTTCTTTGAGTTGGCAGACTCCTTGGTGTTGCCAGTGCCGACGAGGGTAAAGTCGGACACGCCGAGTTCCAACGCTTTCCGTGGGGTTGATACACCACGAGCAATGTTGGACTTGGTCGAGTCTCGTTGGGGCCTCGAGGAAGCCTTGGCAAAGTGGGCGGCCAAGTTTCCGCCTCCATAGACTGACCTGGTGGCAGCCGTTGACTTCTTCTCCGGGGTGAAAGGAGATGACTCCAAGCTGGCGTTGGTAGCTGCTTTGTTCTGGCGCTGGCGAGGAGAAGGCGTCAAGGGCATGCGACCGCCAGCGGTGCGGGAGGAGAAGAGTCCCGTATGGGACTTTAAGGGGGTAGATACTGCGACTGAGGCCATGATGTCTAAAAGTCTTTTGTATCTTTGTGCTCGATAATTTCGAAGATGGCCTTCACGAAGAACGGCTCCTCCGAGTCCGTGGGGCGACCAGTTTGCTCAGGAGGACGAAGAAGCGAAGCGGCCTAATAGACTTGGAAGATGGTCTCTTCGTGAGGCAAAGAAAGCAGTAGTATGCAAATGGGGGGAGTTTTTTTTTTCTGTGGAATGCAGAGGGTGTTTTCAATAATGAGAGAAAAGGGAAAGCTTCAGATGCAGAGTTGCAGCTTCATCTTGGAACTTTATTGTTGACTTTGTGTGGGGCGTGACCGGATCGGTCTCACGGGGCAACCAGTTACCTGGGCATCTGGTGGTGGCCAGCAAATAAGCCGCCGGGGCTGAGTTCAGCGACCGGTCAGTGCGCCCCCCCGAGCTGAAAATGAATTTTACAGCGACCTTAAGGTGCTAGTCGGACATAGCGTTTCGTACTCCCTTGCCTCCCGACCGAAGCAGTGGATTCCCGTCCCTTGCATTCGCAAACGCCAACTGCTCAACACCGTGCGTTATCGGCTTCCGCTGTGGGACGTCTGACCGTGACCGAACCACGAAGCAAACGACTCACTCCTACTACATATTCTACGCATCAGCCTTACTTGAGTGACACATCATATACACGCCGTGCCTTTTCAGTACCACGCGTCAGGCATCTCCTATCGTGCGTGCCTTTGGGAAAAGCTTTCGAGGCCTCCCGGTTCGTTTCGATAGTTTACGGACCACGTTACCCACCAAAGCAGTCGCCGTCGTTGGTTAGGGGCCCCGACTTGACATGACAATCTGACGTTCGCTGTTGCCTGTGCTTCTAGTCGAACATCACCACAAAACGACAAGTGTGACCGCGATGGCGCAGCCATCAACGCCGGGCGCCGACGGTTTACCCTCACTCTTTGGTGGCCCTGCTGGCACCTCGTCTTCCATCACACTTCTTCCGCCACAGGCTTTACCTCCTCCGCCACCAGCATCAGCTGCTGCCGCCTCCGCAGCATTGTATACGCCCATGGCTTCTCATACGACCACGCCGCTCTCTGCGAACTCATCCAGCAATACTTTTGTCATGCCAAACTCGCCTCTGAAGAACAGGCCAATAATCGATGGAAATTATCGCCCCAAGGTCATCAGGACACTGGGCCAAAGGCCAGCGTGCTTGGTGAATGCCTCGGTCACATACTGCAGCAATAATTCCATATATGCCTTCGGAGGATTTGATCAGTATACGGATGAAGTTTACAATCATGTCTTGCGCTTGGATCTTTCCAGTCATCAATGGAGTTTGGTAGACAACTACGGGGACATTCCAGGGGTCAGAATGGGTATGCCAATGTTTCCTTTGCTCTTGGATCGAGGACTGCTATTTACTGAAAATTCCAGGACACACTGCCACTCTTTACCAAGGTGACAAGCTACTAGTGTTTGGCGGCGAAAACGAACATCGTACCTATCTATCCGACCTTATAATCTTCGACCTCAAGACGGCTCATTGGACACAACCTCAAGTCGCTGGTCCGGTACCCAAAGGTCGAGCCCGTCACGCTGCTGTGCTACATGAGGACAAGCTGTTTATTGTTGGTGGCATTACAGGCCATGATAACTACGTCCTCGACGACATTTGCTATTTGGACCTCAAAACTTTTACCTGGTCAAAAGCCTGGCGCTTTGTTGGCCGATTTGACCACTCTGCTCACATTTGGAATGACAGAGTGTGGGTTTTTGGCGGCTTGTCTGAAGACATGGATAAAATTGGCGATCTCTGGTGGCTTGACCTGAAGGGCAGTCCAGCTTTCGATACTCCTCCTCAAGTTGGCTCCTCGGACCGTCACACGGCCATGGGTAGGGCCACTGGCTCGCCTCGTCAACCGTACTCGATGAGCGGCACAGGAGTGATTGGCGCCTCGGGTTACGCAGCTAACTCCCGAACCGCGCAAGTGAGCACTCCGTCATTCCAGTTGAAATCATATGCTCCCATGGCACCTGGTGCCATATCGGATCTCAAGTTTGTGTCTGGGCCGAACGTTCCTTCTCAAGGCTCCGGTGTTCATTATCATCTCTATTCTTCCGGGACGCTTCTCGATTTTGTCACGCCTGCAGCGACCATCACTTCGAAAGACTGTTCGTTATCGGCACTAGACCTCGGTAGTCTGCGATGGCAGAAGCTGGCCGAGGGCCGAGAAATCTTTAGACCTGGCTACCGCTGGCATTACTGTACCATGAACGAAGACGGCACAAAAGCCTGGCTCCTTGGTTGCCCCGAAACCTCGGGAGAGATGGGCCCTAGTGGCTTGGAGGAGTTTCTAAGTGACATTGTGGAAATAGATCTGCGACGTTATGGCTTCTTGGGAAGCAACGTGACCGAGCCTCGGCCAGAGTTATCGTCAAGACCTTCGTCTCACCGAGTTGTCCAGCAGCCATCCAAAGGCCTTGGGCATGACTTGGTACGACTATTCAACCAACCTCCAGAGTCTGGCAGCGGCACAGACTTTATTATTACTGCTCTAGCTGGCGAGTACGAAGACGATGACATGATGAGCTCAGGTCACGTTCGTGCTGGAGAAACAGAGCAGAACTGGCTCGCGCCGGACGCGCCGACATCCCCTCCTATTCACGTGCACAAGTTGATCCTTCAGGCACGCTGGCCGCATTTTGCAAGGCTCTACAATGCTCAGATGGCCGAGTTTCACACAAAGAAGATGCATATTCCTGAGCCTTATAGCGTTGTAGTAGCCTTCCTCCGTTACTTGTACACAGATAGTATACACGTCGACGACGGAGTGACGGAGCTCGCAGATGTGGCTGGTTTATTGGTCATGTCTAACATCTACAATATCCCGCATCTGCGCCTGCTCTGCGTCAACCGACTTTCCAAGGAGCTCGACGTTGTTCACGCCTGCATCATTTGGTATTGTGCCGGCCTGGCTAACGAGGAATGGCTCAGAAAACGCGCCGCGGCCTTCTGCTTGACCAACTGGGGTCGAATCGTCCGTACGCCCGGTTTCCTCAAGCTACCACGCAATGCCCTGGTCGAACTCTCTCAAGAAATCGATATGGAGGGCCGCGTCATTGGTGGTGAGGAAGTTGAATATGTGGACGGTGTTCACGGACGCTACGATAACTGCATGTCGCGTAAGGACAGCATGAGCAGTGATCGGACTCAGGCATTACCGTCTGATATGGATGATTCGGAGGGCATGGATCTTGCCTAAAGGGACTATCTGCAAATCTCACATTCCCGAATCACGCATGTTCTTCATCGACAAGAACCCGCAACGAAGAAACACACATGAAACTTCCTCGCCAAGCAGGAAGTGTACGACACGGATGAGCCATGAAGAGAATACGGCATAGACACAACACAGTCTTGATCAGGGCGCGGAATCGTTTTGCACGCCCTTTTAGAATTTCATTTGCGAGGCGTCGAGGTAAACGATGTACAACTACACACAAGTTCACTATGATTACAGCATCGTCATCTATCTATTGGCAATGATTTACATTTGCCCAAAACTACGCATGACATGGTGGCTCAGTTATTCCATTGCATACAGAGTCTTCGAGGGACATGGCCGAGGTCCATGTCCATGCCAAGTGGAGTTTCACTCTTGCAGAACCCACAGACGGTCCGAGGCATGAAAATATATTAGACATGACAATAAAGATCCATGGCAGTCAGACAATTTACTAAGATGCTCACAATGCCAGGACAACGTGACAGTCTAGCCTACCATGCTCGCCGATGCCAGACGAAGTGATATATGATATCGTTGATGCCACAAGATAAGCGATGTTTGACAACCCTGTCTGACTCGAGTTATGGTTTGCCAATGCACTGACATGACTTGAGAATCAACATGGTATTGGTGCGCCAAATTTCCATCGTCCGTCTCTAGCCTCCATGTCTATTTCTCCTCTTAATCAACCCCAGTCGGATTGTCCGCTACTTCTGATCACCGGGATACATGGTAGAGATCAAGACAAACGTCATCGATACTCGGGCCAAATACACAAGAGGAATGGGGCGTTTATGATTTTTTAACGTAGGGGTTGGACGGCGCGCGGTGCCAATTTAGTATTTAGACTAGTTTGTTAGTAAGAAAGCTGATACTCCACTTTCCGCGATGCAACACTATTTTAGAGTTCCGGGAGGAGTGGAGCGGGTAAGACGGAGTGGAAAAGAGGGAGGAGAGGGGAGAGAGAAGACTAAAACAGAGGGTGAGAGGGGGTGAGTGAGAGAGAGAAAGAGTCAGAGGGGGATATCATTAGAAAACTGATGGGCGGAAACTTGGCAATGGGGCTTTGTTGCCTTCTTCTTGCTTCCTCTGTAGACTGGATACAGAGGAAGAGAACGGAAGTTTGTACATGGGACGAGACTAGGTATTGTAATGGCAAGGTAGAGTTTCAATGGCGAGATACATGAAAGCAGACTCCTGAGAGAATGTGAAGGGGGAAAAATAGAGAGAAACAAGGTATGGAAAGGTTGTCCCTTTCCGCCTCCGTCGTTCCCGCCCCGGCTCACATTTCGGCAAGAAATGACAACAAAGTCAGGAGAGAAGTAAATGGTCAGCAAAGACGATTCCCGCGAGTGGGATTAGCTCCCGGGAACGCCCAGGCTTGAGATGAGAGGGAAACAAAACAGAGCCAAGCCTTGAAAGAGTTAGGTGGTAGACAGACTGGCTCGACTGGCTCCGAGCCTAGGACTTGGGCTCAAGCATGTGAATAATGCCTCGTTTCTATTCCATAGAGCCATAGATAATGAGTGAATGGGCATTGTCGCAGATGGTGATACTTGAGACTGTTGATCTTGGCTGAACATGGTGCATCTTGCCCAGGCTGTTTAATGGTTCGGGAGCAAGGTACTGAATCAGGTTCATTTTTCTGCTCTGTCTGCCCTTAGCTTGCCGCGGAATTGACATGCTCGAGCGGAAACTTGTGCGAAATAGCACGTTTTCCGCCCTACATAGAGGGATGTACCCGGCGTTGTCTTTACTCACTTTAGAAAGGGATACACAAGAGAGTCAGGGCAGGTAACTACTGTGTTTCATTTTGATCTTTGGTTAAACTTTTCGGGATATGAACTTTTGTGACTACTCAACGGGTAGCGCAACAATACACACCGAACTTATACACACTACTACTACATAGCCCGGTCGGCCTCCGCGCTTATGGCTTCCTACCTAGTAAAATAAGGCCAAGCCCCGGATACCGGACCTGTGTTTCTTCGTGGGTTGTAATAAGGAAAGTTAAAGCTGCTTGGCCATGTCTGGCCACGGGAAGCGATGGTTGATCCATGACGTTATGAGGTTTTACCCCCCGGGCTGTCAAAGCTGCAGCTTCACGAGTCGCTTATCAGCATCTGTTTGAGGCTATATTTCGCGAAACGATATCCGGGTGTAATCAAATAGGTGTTTTATCAACTGGTGATCGACAGCTACATACCACGCCTACAGTAGTGCAAAAAGACGCCAAAAAAGCTGCAGTGCTCGTGTGGTGGTCGGTTGGTGATAGTATTCGAAGCTGAGGAGAAGGGGGGAAAGATGGGGCCATCTCGTGTAGGCAGGGCAAGTTCCCGCTCTCCGCGTTTTCTTAACCAAGGTGCCCAGGCTCTCGAGTTTCTTGGAGCCCCTCCATTGTATGACGTCGACCGTCGATACGGACTGACCGTGGCCAATAAAGTCACCAAAAGTTCGAAACGGGGAGATAGTGGCAGACGAGGAAGTTGGGGCCAAGATAGGGAAGCTAGTAGGATGGGCCTGACTATTCCGACACTTGTCAGTGGCAGGACGCAATACATCTCTCGATCAACCGGCATACGCTTTGTTGGTTAATCTGGGGGAAGCAAGGAAAACAGGCAAGGAACATCGGAGACATGCCGACGAGACAGTAGCACGTGGGAGGCTGGTCAACAAGTGGTGGCTCTCCCAAGAGCTGGGTTAGGTACGTAGTAGTATAGATAGATTGGCAGGTAGGGGATAGATAGCATGGGTAAATTCGTTGGGGGCCTGTTTACGTCAGTGTGGTGCATCGGCTATTAGTCTCGTACATATAATACTGCCAAGGTCATGGCTATCGCGACAAGGCTGATGTTATGATGTGCAGGTGTGAGCCACGTAGGTGTATGTGATCGCCATGCCGGGGGGTTGGCTCGGTTCGGTGCCATAGCCAAGATCATTTATCCGTCCATCGGTGCCATTCAACGCCCGGAGTCTGGGCCCCAACATTCATCAGTGGCGGATATCGCGGGCCGGAGGCAACGTCAAGACACGGGTATCGCCATGTGCTGCAATTGGCCGTGCTGCTCATGGATGGAGTCGGATCCATAGGCATCTCGATGACGGAACAGATGGCTCAAAGTTGAAAGACGGATAAGCGACCCGGGGTTTACTCGTAACGATGTGACATCGGCGTTTCAGTCACGGCCATGTTGCGCATTGGTGAACCAAGGGCAAACCATCATTAGAAACAACACGATTGATTTCAACGTTTCTGTGAATACGAATGGAGGTAGAGAGTAGAATTGAGAAGAAACGTCATCTACCTAAAAGAACAAAATATACCTGGGAATACGGTGAAAATGAATTGAGATGGACGCAACTTTTTTCCTTCAAACCTTTGTAAACGCCACTAAGAAACAAGAAACATACACCTTCCACCATTTTCCTGATAGTTGATAATAAGGAATAAAGACAGCCACACTCTTAGTCCTGCTATCATTGTCGGCGGGGTCGGACGAGAGGCAATTCAACCTCGATCATCCAATGTCCGAATATAGCACAGCACATAAGCAGGAGACGCAAAAGTAAATCATAACACGAGTGACCAGACAAGACAAAAACAGTAAATGCAAGAAACCGATGTGTCTACCACAACTATAGACCAACGTACCATGACGAAACCGCCAGTAATTCAAGCGCGCCATGTGATCAGAGAATATCGTTTGGAGGCGTCTGAACCAGCCTTCCGATGCTCTCGTCCATGTGCAAGTATGGAAATTCACCAATCCACGGAACTGCAGCAGCAGTCTATCAAAACTGCCGCCCCCGATCTTTCCGTTCATGAGTTCTCCAAACCGTGTGCGCTGTTCTTCCTATACGCCAAGCTGCGCGAAGAACAAGATGCAGATGTGTGAATACGGTAGAAAGTCTATCGGGGTATATGTGTGCCGCATAAGCCTTGAAGGAAACAATAGTAAAAGAAAACAACGCCGGTCGATGCAGAAAAAAAAACAACTTTTCCGAACCGCTTCTGAAATCATTGGCGCATATCGATGGAAGCAACCGCCGGCAGAACCCAGTCTCTATGTGCAGTGTTGCCATGTATCTATGCCAGCCAGGGGTCGTTGATGGTTGAGGTGAGTCGTGTGGGAATCGTAATATCTGACCGTGACAGATGGGATTGATCGTTTGTCCAAAAGATCGTATCGTGGATTGCGAGACATCATGAACTGCGCAAACATATGCAAAATAAAGAGATTTCTTTACATTTGCATTTCCTCGCCGATACCCGGAAGCCCGTGCATGGATAATCCGCCACCAAGAGACATGTTGGACAAGCTCGCCATGTTGATATTGGCCTGGCTAGCGGCATTAGCTGCCCAGCCCGCCCGCATGGCGGCGATATTAGCAGCAGCCTCGCAAGCAGGAGAATGTTGCTTGTGCTATTTGAAGGTGAGTTTGAATCATTGAAGTATGAGTGAACAGTATACGTACGTATTTGAGGCCGTTGAGGTTCTTGTACCGTTTGTTGCAGTATTCACACTTGTGAGGCTTCTCCTTCTCCATGCCCATTTCACCCGGGAACGGTTGAGATGTCTCCGGATTGACAATGGAGAATGTACCGTCTCCATTCTCATGCAGCTGTTGAGTTTGATGACCGTGCTGTTTGTGGTATCTGCATTATCGATTAGCGATAAGACTCGGGCGGGACAAAAAAAGTTTGGGTTTCCAGATCATGTACGTCTGGCAGTTGGGGGAACTTAGACAAGGGAATAAAAAACTTACTTCAACCCGTTTTGATTCTTGTATGCCTTTTCGCAGCCAATCACAGGGCACTTGAACGGCTTGTCTTCTTCGGGAGGAATTACCAGAGTGCCCGTGTTACCAGCCAAAGCTCGCTGCAGAATGGCGATTTGATGTGGGTCAGAGAACTGCTCGCCAAATTGAGCCTGATCCAAACCAAACTGGGCCATTTGCTGTTGAAGGCGCTGTTGGGCAACAGCATTGTTGGGGCTGTACAGACTCTTTGCAGGGTCCGCAATGAAGCTGGTAAGGTTATTACCCATGTTGGAAAAGTCTAGGTTCATGTTGTTGGCGAGGCCTGTCAAGTCATCGACACCATTCAAATCGGCTCCAATCTGACCGTTCTGTGTTTGCGTTGTGGTGAGCGTCGGCGTATTCACCGACGAGACGGTGGGATTGTTCTGGAAGCCAAAGCCGTTGGCGCCAGGGGTAGACGGCTGAGACGTGCGTAGACCTTGCTGTGCCATATTGGTACCGTTGAGGTTGAGAGACAATTGAGGGCGTTGCTGCTGGCCAAACATTTGTCGTGTCTGCTGAATTGTACGTTGGCTGGTGTCATCAAGCTCCAAGGGACCGATAGCATCGTCCATCTCCATATCCCCTACGGCATCCATTTCATCACTGATATCTACCAAGCCAGACGACTTTGGCCCCGAGCCCAGTCCAGACTGCTGTCGGCCCATTTGCATTCCGCCAAAACCGAATCCTGGGTTGCTGGTGCTGCCACGATTTTGTTGCCCAAAACCAAAGTTCTGGGAATTGAAGCCATGCGAGTCCCGTCGGCCACTGCCATTCGAGATGGAAGGTCTACTGACAGAGAGTCGGTGACCCGTCGGCACGCTGGTCCGTTGCTGTTGGGCACCGCCAGCGTGCTGCGTCTCGTAATGACGCAACAGCTCGTGCATGTCCTTGAGCCTCTGATCACAGCAAAAGAAATTGCTGAGAAACTGTGCTTCCATCTTGGGGACATAGGAATTCGAATGGGGCGATTGCGCGCCCACGAAAGGCGATGTGCCCGCCATGGCCAGGCTGGATGAAGATATTAGCATGTGATCTATACTATAAATCACTCGCTTGCAGTGGTGTCTCAAACCGTGATTCACCATGGCTCAGAGACAATAGCAGTAGCAGCAGGGCGATATAACTTACTCATCTCTAATATAACTTCCTACAGAAACACCACCCCAGCTCATGCCGCCCATGAGACTGCCAGCGAGCGACTCCCGTCGGGCGCGTGCCTGGTCGCGATTGGGGTTCATCGATATGGGCTTTGGGCCGGCACTGACGAATGAGTCTTGGCGGCTGCGGCCAAAGGCCGGCTCGAGGGATGGGCCAGTGGTCATGTCGACGTCTTGGTCCAAGTTGGCAGAGTTGTCGAAGGTGATTGAAACTGGTGCTGCTGTTGTGGTCGTCGAAGTCTGGTGTGCTGCGGTAGTAGTGGGGGTGGCCTCGACTTCTTTGACCCTCCCGTCAGATGTCAGGATGCGTGTGACGGGTGGCGATGCACTAGCCGAGGACCGAAGGCCGGGCGCGGCGATGTTGACGGGTTTTGATGATGCTGTTACAGATGCGGTGTCGCCAAAATAATGACTGCGCGCAGGAAAGGCAGTCGTGTCGTCGGGTGTTGCGGGTTGTGGTGAGGGAGAAGGCGAATCGACAGAATGTGAAGAAGAAGGTGTAGGAGCGACAGCGGAACTCGAGTCGCCAGTGGGAGTATCGGGGCTTGTGCTTGTGCGGCAGCCAGAGCCAGACGACGACATGGAGGCCGGGCGCTCGGTACTACCCCCTCTGAGCCAGTTCATTATGTACCTTTTTAGCAACTAGCTCTGTGGGGTTTGGATTGGGTAGTGGCGGGTGAAGGTGCCCAAAAGGAACAACTATTACAGCAGCTTTCCTTTCAATGGATGGGTGAACCTAAACAAGACAACAATCCAAAAAATAATAATTCAAACAATCAACCAGAGATGTCCTAGGCAGGGTGAAAGTATAATGACGAGAAACAAAAAAAAAAGAGATCTCTGGGATGGGATGAATTAGAAGAGGGTTGGTTGGTGGGTGAATGCTGCAACGACCCAGCTGGTGCTTAAAAAAAAAAAAGAAAAAAAAGAAAAAAAAAGAGGAAGTGTGATGCAAGTAGTAGTAGTAGTAGTAGTAGTAGGTCCAGTCGGGCGGCCGGCCGGTAATGACAAAAATGTGTGCAAGGCTTATTATGGTCCGGTAAGGTACCCCAACAAGATGTTAATTCCACCGCAGACAAGCCTATTATTGAACACTAGAGAGTGCAATGGAACCTGCGACCAAATGTCCCAGCCAGAAGAGGGGGCGAGAGGAGCGATACAAATGGGACTGGCGACTTGAGGAAAATCCAAGACGTCGTGTTGCATGGATTGTAAATGTGTAGGGGTGCCTTGTGTTGTGGTTTATTGCCGCTTGAGGGCAACTCCGTAACGCAAGTCGTAGTGCGTAGCTCCTCTGGGCAACTAGGTACTAGGCTAGCCTTCACGAACGGGTGGCTAACTAGGACGTAATGGCAGACAAGTGACGGAGACGCGCCCCAGGTGGTCTTGACTAATGTCAGGTCGTCTAGGTAGTGTACGGAGGTTGGTTTTTAATGACCGATTTCAAGGAATTCTCCACGAGTCCAGTTAAAAAAGTGAGTTCCAAGAATGGAGAGAGGCACGAGAAGATGGGGTCCGCTTCGGTAGGTAATAGACAGTGGTCCAAAGGCCTCTAGTAGTAATAGTGGTAGTGGTAGTGGACTGGACGTTTGCTTGGAGTCGAATGGAATGGTTATTGTTGGATCGCTTGGCCACCCTCGAACGAGACGAGGTAAGCAGCTCTATATGTAGATGGTTGGCTAGGTGTCTATGTGGTCGTGTTGTATTAGTTCCAAGAGCGGGTTATCTCCTAGCTAGTACAGAATCCGGGAAATCGACAACCACAACGGGTTCTCTCTGCCTTCATGTGTTTGTTGTCTGTTTGATTCGATTTACTACTGATGTCGACCAAGATGCTGGCGTGCTTGTTCCCAGAGCGGTTCTCGCTAATGTTTAAGGTGGCTGCATAGGGTGCACAGGGTGCATATGCCCACATGGGGTTTAACTCAGTTGTTGCAAGGTGCTGGGTGAAAGATCTCGCACTGACTCGGGGGTGGACAATCGAGCAGGAGATCGTTTGCTGATCGTGACGACAGTCGTCTCGTCCTCCCGAGAAGTAGTCCAATGAAGAACCGATACGATTTTACTCCGATTCAGATGAAATAATCAATAGAGCAGTAATCAGGACAGCGCGGCTGGCCATATTATCATAATTCTAATCGGTCGATAAGGCGCACCGCAGAATCAGGGTCTTGCTGATCTTGGGATGATGCTGGTGTTTATGTGCTTGTAACCTTTGTGTGGAGACAGCCACGCGTTGCAGTACCAGACTCTAGGTGAAGTTGTCAAAGTAGTCAGACATGCAGTAATTCAGTCGCACGGCTGCTGCAAGGCAAATAAACAAGATGCCCCGTGTAATATGAACAGTACGGGGTACTTCATGAAATGATATTGCACGGCCCCTTGCTTTTCTCTCGTCCCGTCGGGTCATCAATCAAGTGTACTTTCCGTACAAGGTGATCTGTCTGTAATAAGAACAGTACTCTGTATAGAGTTGAGTAACCAATCGTCCGCGCGGGCCATCCAATCCGCTGTTTTGAAGCCAGCGCACCCCAGGAAAAGTAGAAACAAGAAGCAATAATCGAGCATGGGAAAATGGTGCTTTTCCCGTCGGAAAAAGCAATTATTGCCAACCTTTTCCCATCCGCAATGCATATATCGCTGGATTGGTACCTACATACTATATGGGCTACGTACAGAGTAGGTACCTTGAGGTAGCACCTTACAGGCTTTATGAATAGGTAGGTAAGCTTGGCCGGCCTGCACCTTTGTGAGCAGACGGATGGAGGGACGGACGGGCAAACGGCTTCTACTTAACATGCCTAGGCACCCAAAGTCAAGTTGATTGTGTCACTTCTTCGGAACCCAAGGAATGTAGGGTGTGCTGTAAGCTCCCTGGTCCCCAGACGATAAAGACCGGGGGGATGCACCGATTCCGCGGAAGTGGTGTGAAGGATGCCAGTTTCCGCATGGTTGAGCTGTAATGGATAAGGCTGTTCGCTTCACGTTCAGGCCAACCCAGGCAAGCCGACACCTTAGGATTCAATCGAAAAGGTTCCGCGTACGACAGGGACGCTATCTGAATCGTTTGGGGTTACTGGGCTTGGCGGTCCTTGTTGTTCACCCGAAAAGAAACCATGGGTGTCTTGATGATACAGGCCCTGGTCTGCCTTTAAGAAGCGACATCATACCCATCATGATCATCTCCGCCCTTATGTATGGCTGACGATCATTTGGGATCACTAACTTGACGGAGGCAACACGATCGAGATAAGAGCTGAGCCATGTATCATAATCACTCACTGAGCGTTCATGCAGCAGAAAAGGGGAATCTTGTAGTATTCGCATGTCTTCTGCAAAGACTGCTCGAATCTATATGCACCCTGCGTATACTAATAGTGCATACTACCATCCAATACAGCGAGACAAAGAAGCGGTGTCGAGGCTGTAGGAAGACTTACACGATGCTCAATATACCACATGCAGTCAATTGTGTAGTTGGCACTTGGTGTCTATGGGGAGGGATGTGTGGTTTGTGTGCCTTACCGTCTTCGTCGACACGTTTGGATGGCAAAGCTGTAACACTTGGTGCGGAGCAATGCCTTCAATGACGAGCTCAGCTATTCATTGTAGATTGCGGACAGCATTCTCGCATACATAGTATAGAATCTACCTAGAGGTCTGTAAAAGCATGAGAATCTAGGTAATGATACACAACACCAGGTGGGTTGTAGGTTGTTGCAGCATGGCCCAAGGTAATAGACAAGCGCCAAATTTACTAATCTAGCCGAATACCACATTGTTATGACTCGACGCGACGAATACCAAGCCGATGGCCACACCACTTCGCATGCCCCTACTTCTTTGCTCATGTCAGCACGGCAAAGGTTCAGATCATATTCGATACAACCAACACGGGTGCTTTGCGCCCCTCCATTGTATGAGTTGCTGCAGTAGTGGTAGTACTGTGTATATTATCCAGGCGTAATATTGCTGACTCTGCAACTTTGTGCTGACGCCTGTATGCCTTCTTCCGGGCTAGAGACCGCGATCGTTCCCCACGGTACGCCCCGACCTTGTCAGTTGTGCTAGGATAGGTACAGGAATGCTCGTTGAGTCATTTGCTCATGCAGCTAGCGGGTCGAGAGATCTCATTGGGGCTCTTCACAGTTCGACAGCCTGCGCTTGTGGGTATGGTAGGCAATGATACATGCCGAAAAGGGCCCATGAACTAGCTCGCGCTCCGGTGAACCATGGTGAAATAGACGATCGAATCCCGGACACCTTGGGCCAACAATCCATCGACTTTGGCCCGTGGCGCCAATCGAACGAGACGGTTTCAATAGAGGCCGGAGCCAAAATGTTCATCGACGGCGATGCCAATACACTAGGATCTAAATACCAGATCAGGCAAAAATAATGCTACAACGCAATACTACCTGAATCATTCTCAGTGATTAGTGAGCCAAAAGAGCCATCATGGTACCGATGCAGTACCAGCTGAACAGCTGACAACCGGCAGCTGAACGAAGCCTTGCCCCTAATACCGGCGATGCGGTTGGATCACCAACAAGTGGCGGTAGTTGTGTGCAACACTGGCTTTCGCTGTTTGCTATAGCCTGAGTAATCCCCTGGAATGCAAAACGCCCGGCCCGGCTTCTCTGCACTACACGATTTACAACATCACAAGTAAGCATCGAGGCGGCCTCGCTTGGTCTGTGAGTCGGCCAGTGGTTCCAATTCGATTATAGCGGCCGACTCCATATCCGTTTGATTGGCATTTGCCATGCTATGCTGTCATTGCAGAATGTGAATGCATGTGTTGATCTCCTGCAAATAATCCAGTGCCGCAAATAGTGGGGGGAGGAGTACCCGCCAACTCCGCGCGCTGTCAATCAGTCCCATCCAATCCTCACAGTTTTCTAGTTTCCGACTCCTCTCTGCTGCTCCGCTCCGCTCGCTGGGTGTCGGTTTTGCCTGTTGACGATGACTTCACACCACTCGTGATGGAGTAGAACGGGACTGGCTTGCTTGCTTGCGTGATCAGTATTCCTGTTTCCCCCCCTGTGGGTTAGACGCTATGTCATGATCCACATCCATCGCCTCTGGGGTCCAGTGCAGGGTCTCTGGAGAAGATCCCTAAATCCCAGCTAATTTCTCCAATTGCCAGTGCACTGCACGCTGCCCGTAACTCGCTCAGTAAGAGCCTCCATATACCAGCAGCCCAGCCCAGGAAAGCCAGGCGATTGAAACAGATGCTATCGTGAACCGAGCGTTTTGAGAAGAGCTATAAGCCAAATAACAGCCGGCGTCTCTGTTAATGCTAATCACCAACGTACTATCGCGCTTGGTGACCTTCATCTAACTGCATTTACTCTGCTCGACCACCCGACACTATGCCCATGCGTCAGCCTTACCTCTCTCAGATTCCTTTTCCATCGATCTACCAACTGATTAGCCCTCGCCACGAAGAATTCAGGGTCCTGTCTAGTCGCTATACAAACGTACACTACGCTCTAGAATCTAGACCAGTTGATCCCCTAAAGTAGACGCTATGGTCCTGCGATTGCGGAGAAGTATATTGTCAACAGGCAATCTGGTCAATTCAATGAGCTTGACATGATAGGTACCACTGACTGGTGCTTTACATATCTCGAGATTTACCCAGACCTTGCAACGCAACAGGCCAGACGGACCAATTGTCACATCCGAGTCTCGCATGTCTGGTTTGGTCTAACAGACCGACGGTTTGACATCATCGTCTAAGGGGTGTGCCGGCATGCCAATTTCCGCCGTGTTGCAGCTCTTTTGCCTATCCAGTATAGTGTCGCAACAATCCTACCTACCTACCTTTCGAGACGGCCCTATAGAATTCCTATTCTCACCGCCTTGAGGCTGCGCGTGGCGCGGTCATGAGCGGCGGTGCGGAAGGTCTTCCGTAGGGGCCTGGTCAGGGTTCGTTGCAATATCTCCCAGACGAATGGTCCCTGGTCTAGAAACATTCGAAGCTTCTAAACGGACCCTGAAAAAGCCACATTGGGCGGTTCCGAATGGTACCGCGCAAGGGGCTCACCCCCCACTATCCTTGTAATTGCCATGCGGTGGTGCGGGTGCCCGCTTGGCGATTTGGTGCATTTCGTTGACCGCAAAGAATAAAAACGGCTTTCGCGAATACCAGGTTCTTCCCAGCACATACATTGTGTACACTACTCTCTTTATTGTTGCCTCCCTTCCTGGTAGGGCAAGTCCAAGACTCTTTTGACACGTAGGACAAAACTGATCGTCAATGCCTCACGCACGGCACCGTCACCTACAACGAGCTACACACTACTCTAGTCGGTCACAGCCCACGGACGCTGTCTTTGTGGTTTGTGTCTCTGAAAATCTACGTAGCTTCGCAAGCAACTCGTTATCCTAATCGCCGAGGCCTTCTTGCATTTCGGTTACTCTGGAAAATACAAGCCCCAAACAAGAGTGAATCTCGAGGCAAAAGCTGCAACCTCCCAAGCATACTTCTTCTCAGTTTTGGTTGGAGGCTCTGGAGCCCGCTTTCGATCACGTGTGATACAACCAGGACATGCAATAGATGTGCCACCCTAAACTTCCGGCTGGTAACTCCATATTAAATGTCGGTTATAGGAAGCGGCAATATTGCAAGGTATTCATGCGGCACGCTGCACTCTTGGATGTATGCGTGTAGGGTTAATGTACTTACTCACGTGCGCACTAATCTGTACTCATGCCTGAACAGGCGGCTTGGGCGGCTCCAGAGGAGATCTGGGTCGGCTATCTCCGGGCTTGCCACCTTTGCCATCAAATGACAACCCGAACCTCTATTGTTCCGAACGATCAAGGTTCCAGCATGTGGTATGCAGAAAGAATATTTTGATCTTCATCAACACTTCAATAGCATCGCCGGTATTAGCAATAGAACGGACGGGCGGGCGGCCCCATGGTGCCTTGCCTTGAATCTTGCCCAGGAACCGGGTAGGATGACCTTGCTTGACAAGGCGCGACGGCGAAGGCCATGATAGCTCCCGCTTGGGAAGTGCCGGGCAATCCCCGAAGGGAAGCAGCAGAAGACAGATCAACCCCGGCAGAAAAGGTCCGACTCGACTGTTTGTGTGTCCTTTGGTGTTGGGAACACACAGCCAAGACTCGCCCCCCTTGACGCCGAAACCGCGAGGCGCCGAACCAGTCGCAGTAGCCGCGGCCCTACCTTAGCAATGGAACATTTCTAGAAGCCCTAGGTAAACCTCGTGCACATGTCTTTGCTGGGTAGTACGATATACATCTTCAGACTTCTACATCGTACATTAAACTACTAGCCTCGCTAGCCTATTCAAGTGCTACGGGCTTTGTCGTAGAATAGACGATGTGGTCTCAGGGTCCTACCTAAGACATTCTCGTGACCTTGGGTCTGATACAGACGGATAGAGGCCAAACAGTCCATCTCGGCGCGGATCGGTTTGAACAGCCAGTGAGTAGTGGTCATCCAGTGAAAGGACTCGAGACTGCTGCCGTTCTTCCGCTTAATTCCCGGACTCGATAGACAATTCTGGCTTGTTTCCCTATGGATGTTGTACTCTGCAAAGAATTACACTCTAAGAGGCCGTGATTCATTATGTCTCCTTCATTATTACTGCCTTATTTCAGACCCGTTTAAATAGAATCAATCTTTTTCTTGGCGTCTTACATCTGCCGTACGAGATTGACGTACGATAAAATTCGAAAGAAAGGTGCCATTATCGTCAGATATATCCACAAAGCCATCCGTCGAGGGATCGGTCAGCACTCTCTTTTGCATCGACTCTTGGCATGTATGGTCGTAAACATGCTCAAGGGCCGCTTTGGAGCGCGGTGGCTACTTCAGGCAGTCCACGATCGCCAATATAACCATCTACTCGCATATTGGGTGGTCTCTTCGAATGAATTTCTTATGCATTCTCTTGGTCCTATATTAGCGGCGCGAAGATGCATTGATGGCAGTCCGGGATGGATTGCAATTACGGGGTAGGGTACGGGATAGACGATCTGACACATGAAGGCATTCGGCGATAGCACAGGGCTATTCAATCACCTTTATTCCGGAGCTGAATAAACTTTCCAGCCCTTCCGCCTCAGAAAACTCGAGCAAACGCCGAAGCTGAGAGAGCAAACGGCGAGAATAGGACGAGCCCAAGCTGGCGGCGCGGCACGACAGACTCTGCCAGCTGCTCTGAAGCTTACCCCCAGCTGCAAGACAGGCGGACCAATCTCGGGCACTCGGGATATGAAAGTCACAGCCAGGACATCAGCCCACTCTCGGTCGATGGTCGATGACCTCACTGTAAATTTTCCGGAGCCTGCAAGCAAAGGAAGCTCCTAGAAAATATCGTTCTTGCATGGTGATTAATTCTGACGGGCCAACAAAGTCGAAGACACTGACTCAGCGCGAATCGCGAGCTATTACCTTTGTTCTTGATATATAGCACATTGTGCGCAACGGTCGCATAGCTGTTGGCTGTCATCAGTTTTCAATCTACCATACTTGACAACACTACCTAACTACCTTGTTACGTCAGCTCTCCGTAGCTCGAGCCTCCAAAAAATAATCGTCACCACTCAAATCCCGCGACCTTTGACGACACTCAATTGATCCTCCAATCCAAACCCGGCATTTCCACAACCACAACCACACAAGCCAACCCATTTCTTGTATACTGAGACAGGGCATATTACATTGCCAAGCGCAAATTCCGCAGCATCACATCCCGAGAAGACACAACAACATAACAACACCATGAAGGTCGTTTCAAAGGAAGAAGAGCAGGCGCACTACAACCAAGTGCTGAAGGGCGGATTCATCGGTGGTTCTTTGTTCCTTGGCCTTGGTATGGTGGGAGTATGGGGCGCATCGAGGCGGTATCCAGCCTTCCGCGGATTGACGCTGCCCTTCCGCTCCTTCCTGGTCACCTCGTCGGCTACGTTTGGCGCCATTGTCAACGCCGAGCGCTATTCCAATGACTTCCATATGCGCAACAACCCCATGAACTTTTACAAGGATGAGACGGAGCGCGCTATCGAACTTGCACGCGAGCAAGAGACACCCGTTGAACGATTCACGGAGTGGGGTCGCAAGAACCGCTACAGCATCGTCTTTGGTTCCTGGATTGCTGCCATGGGCTTGGCTCTCGGCATGGTCGGTCGCAACAAGTACCTGTCGACATCGCAGAAGCTCGTACAGGCTCGTGTGTACGCACAGGGTCTGACGCTGGCTGTCCTCGTCGCTACTGCCGCCTTTGAGACATCGGATGCCCGCAGTGGTCAGGGCCGCTGGGAGACCGTCAAGGTCCTTGACCCCAACGACCCCGAGCACAAGAAGCTGATTGAGAAGCGCATCCACAAGGAGGAGTACGAGGGCCAGGACCTGTGGAAGGATATGGTCGCCGCCGAGGAGCGCAGAATCCAGGAGCGGGAAGCTTCCCGTAAGCCCAAAGCTTCCGAGGAGAAGAAGGAGGGTGAGAAGCAGACTGCCCATTAAAAGCATGCATACGGTTGTACCACATTTGGCTCAATCTGTAGCCCCTTATTTTCTTTTTTTTCGTGTGAAGAGATGGAAGCGTTTTGAATACTGCGTGGCCGATAGGGAAAAGTCTTGCATATCTCAATGGCTTGCTTGAGGAGTTCCGGGGCATTGGTTGGCATTTTGCTTTCTCGTTTTCATGTGTTCAACCCCTAAATCATACCAATTTGGCGACTATAGATTGGATTGGGGACAAGCAGTAGTGTTTACAGGTTATACTTTGATGATGCGGCGCCAGCAGCAGAGGTTGTATCAATATTTCGATAGAAGTCCATACCAATAGAGCCAATGAATGATTGAAGCTTCAAAGTTAACACACTACATTAGCATTACTCACTTCACTTTTCGAGACTTGAGAGCAAATAAGCCTCAAGTCAAATTTAATGTGATCGGATTTGACAAGTATCACCAGTGGTGCATTCGTCAACAGTAATCCGCGTCTTAAAAATTACGACACTGGCACCAATTACATATATGAACGATTTTTACCCTGCGTGTCTTGATAAAAAAAAAAAAAAAAAAAAAGAGACAGAGAGAAGAAAGAGAAGAAAAATAGTGTGTATTCCAATTCATTAGTTCTGCCGCCGTTAGCAGTATTACATTTAGACTATCATACATTTCAGCTTCCTTTCGATTATATCAAACCGAGGCTCCGAGGCATCAAGATATACTGTAGTCCGTGCTGCCTATACAAGTTACTGACTTGGCTGGAATGCAATTCTACCTATCCTACAATTTGTTTCCTTCGTCTCGAATCTTTATATCACGGGTGGGAACTTAGCGAATGAGACAAAGAATCAAAAAAAAAAAAAAAAAAAAAAACTAAAACTGCAAGAGTCTATTCTATTCTCGTACTTCACACCCGAGGACCTTGATTCGATATTGACACCGATGTAAACCTCGAATTCCTTGACTCATACAGGTATGCCATGTCAATGTGAAACTTATATATCTTTCGCCGTAGTAGACACTATTGCGACCCCCTTGGAGGTAGTTACTGTCGCATTTGTTTCAGGTAGGTCACCGATTTGCATATTCATCTGCCAACGTGAATAGAGCACATTTGGTTCAACGTTTATCAACATGGGCTTGTTTGGGCTATGCTTGTGCTCCTCCTTTCTATAATGGAAATGAAACGACCCCTTTGATTCAAATACATACCATACAGTTGATTTTTTTTTTTTCAATATCTGTGTACACAAATACATATCTATGTAAGTTTCTAGGGAGGCAGGAACGGAGACAGGAAGTCATGCGTAAGTTGGGAACAAGTAAACTTTATGAGCATCATTTGCGAGACGTACTTTCATCAAGACTTTCTTTATTATATCTCTGGGATGACAAGTGGAATCATTCAATAGAACACAACGAGTAAAAAAAGCATTGTAAGCATCTCTCCCAAGAGATCTTGAAAGAGAAAGCCAGAATTTGTGTCATTTTCACGGCAATTCGTATGTGAATTTCAAGTCATGGTTTAACTTGATGTCTCAAGAGGTCGGTGACTGGCAGGAACTCCTTGATATTTTGCACGGTGCTCGTTGGCATGTTCAGTAAAGTCTGCACGGGTTCATACGTGACTTGGTCGATTTTTAGCCGTGAAACGCAAGCAGGACAATCACCTCAAAACTGTGCGTATTCAACACACATATATATAATCTAGGTATTACTTATGTATTGAATCAATATCAGCGGCGAAAACCGTGACAAATGAGTGTAGGAGTTCCAACGTTGATCTTGTAAAATACTATGCACCTACCCAACAGGTCTGGTTCCGGGCGCTACCTCGTACACTACAGGCACATCAATTGCGCCCGGCGTTGACAACAAGGCACGTGACATATGACCCACTTCGGCATTGGCTCTACATCAGAACTAGGATGACCAAGCCAACTTCGCAATCTACAACATTGCCGACATCAACCGCATTCCAACCGACATCTCAGCGTCAGGGTGCAGGAACATTGCGAACAAATCAAAAGGCAAACAAACAGACCGGCCCGATCTTTGAGTGAACTTTCCCGCACTCACGGCCTCAGCGCGCAGGGTCCTAAGGGTGAAAAGTAGGCAAGAGCGTGCGTCTGGTGCGCCAGTTGGGGGGAATAGCGTCCAGAACCACCAAACAACCTTTTGCCGCCGGACAACGACTTTGCGCCCTCAAGGTGACTACAACAAACCTTCTTGGCGTATCCCGACAGACAGCAAACGAGACTGCCAATCGACGGACAAGCGAAAGAACAATACAAAATTTAAAAAGCTGTAAAAGCTCCCCTCGGTCGCACCCGACAGTTCATGCAACACCTCCACGTAGACGACAACCTACAAACCCACCGTCAATATGTCCAACTCCCAAGTCGGCCAGATCTACCAGCAGATCATTGAAGATGTTCTGGACTCTTCGCGCGTCGATCTCGAGGAGAACGGCGTAGATGAGAGCATACTGGAGGAGCTGAAGCTGGTAAGCAATCCTTCACAACAGGCGCCAACCACAAGCCCCTCCCCATGGATTTGCAACATTTCACCTCCCTTTTCTTCAATCCACTATTTCCTTGCGTTTCCCCTCATTCAGCAATCCGCAATAAACTCTTGGACTGCTCCTCTTGTGAATCTTTGTTGTTCCATGTCAGCCCCAAGTCTTCATCCACTGTCGCCGTTTGGAAGAAGGGGTAGGCTGCACTGCACCAGTGGGCGTCCTCGAGGTACGGGGAGTGTTGGAGACGGCTGGTCGCGCGGAGGGGCAGACACCCGCTATTTGGGTCTTTATGCCTGCTTCCTCCCCGCTAAAAAGTTGTCCTCCGCTTGAGTCATAAAATTGCCTGCTGGTTTGGTTGGGTGGCTGCCTGCCTGCCGGTCTGGCCAGCTGACGGCACCTGGCTCTTCGTGCTTACATCCCATACGCAACTCATCATTGCCTCCTCATCATGTTCACCCAAATACCGATGCTACGTCCAAAAGCTGCTCATTGTTTGAATATGCTCAATACTCGATTCTGGCCTTCATGATACTAACATGAAGACTATAGGGTTGGCAAAAGAAACTCTCGGCACAGAACCTTGCAGCTTTCCCTTGGGATCCCAAACCTGATCCTCCCGCGCCTGCACCAGCTGCGGCGCCCCCTCCACAGCAGCCTTCTGCGCCCGCTCCTGTTCATCAGGATGTCAATGCTGCCAACGGAGTTGGCATTCAGCAGCAGCAAGCTGCTCACCAAGGTGCTCCGGCATACGCCCAGCCAAGCAATGGTGTTAAGAACGAGCCCGGTATTAAGACGGAGCCCGGCCTTGAGCAGATGCCCATGCAGCAGCAATTTTCCAATCCTGAAGTTCGGGATCGTGTCATTAACAACCTCCAGACTCAGTATGGCTCGAGAGCTGATGCTACGATCAACAAGCTTCAAGAGTCCATCGGCTCAGCATCCAACAGACCTCAGTACCCGGTTCCACCGCGTCCTGCAGGCCAGGCAGTGCCACAGCAGCCACGTCCCAACCAGATGGCCAATGCAGCTGCACAGCAATACCAGCAGCAAATGGCTGCCCAACAGCGTGCGCAGCAGTCTGTGCAGAACGGCAATGCTCCAAAGCCCGCACCATCCCAATTCGATGGCGCAGCTGAGGAAGCTGTCCTCGTCCACCAAGATGCCACAGGCCAGACCACGGAGCTCGGCCGCGTTGAGATTGACCGTATGCTACATGCACAGCTTGAGGCCAGAGCTAAGGCTATGGAGGGAGGTGGGCTGATGGTGCCGCTCAAGCGTGCCGCCAAGAGTTCTGATGTATCTTACCATCGCACCAAAACGACTTCTGGACCTGGACGCTTCGATGGTGGGGATGATGATGTCAAGTCTGAAGAGGACGAAGATGCCATTAACTCGGACCTTGACGACTCAGATGATAACGCAGAAGATGATGATGACGACGATGATGGCGGTCAAATCATGCTTTGCATGTATGATAAGGTCCAGCGAGTCAAGAACAAGTGGTGCGTTACATTATGGGTCCCCACCACATCTACAAGTATCATACGGCTGCTAACAATTCATACAGGAAGTGTGTGCTCAAGGACGGCGTGCTTAGTGTGAATGGCAAAGACTATGTCTTCCACAAAGCGTCAGGCGAGTATGAATGGTAGAGACTGGGACCTATTTGGTGATGCCGCCTCGGTAGCAGACATCCAGTTGGTCTTGAGGGCGTTTGGCGTTTCATTTGGGCAGTTGACTATAGCGTGATTGGTTTTCACGAGTTTGACGAGATTGATACCACCAATCTTCATTGCATTGAAATCGTACGCTGGCTAGGGAAAACCTAGGGATTGGGGCATACGGTCTGACTTGATGGCCTGTTGTCTGATGATGACGCGGCAAAGCTTGTGGCAGCGACGATCTTGGGGCATGCGGTCGCTTATGGGCAGACGAAACAAAGATGAGGACGACACATGTCATGAGCCAGCCCATGTGTGGCCATGTTTCGCTCTTGGTCATGAGCGTTTCTCTAACGAAGTTTGTCATGAACACTGGGCCAAACAGGGCTCAGGGCCATTGATCGTCATCGTGGAGTGGATATTCATAAAACTAAGAAAGCATTCTCATAAAATCGGCATTGTATTGGACAGGGAACACAGACTTGATAGATGCAGCCGTAAATAAAATGCGAGACAATATCTTTACAGAGCATGTGCGTGAGGCGCTTATCCGTGGGCGGCGGTCTGTCATATCACGCGCGAGGCCTTTCAATTCCGCACTTTCCGGATACCATATTCCCAAACAAGGATATGGAATGGGTAAACAGACAGTGCCAATTTGTGCGGAGTCAATTCCAAAAGATCATGCCAGGGGTCTATCAAGCTAATACATAGTAAACAGCAAAAAAAAAAAAAAACTAGCGTGATCTGATCTACCACCAAAAAAAAAAGCGCCCCTGTGTTATACACCACACACTGACTTGTATTCTGGAGCACTCCCAGCTCCTCTCATGTCTCGTTTCTCTTCTCGTCTTGTATCGCCCGCCGCTCCGCGTCAAAAGAAGAACGATGGATGCATAAGCAGTAACCCCAGACAGTAACAGGTCAAGACCGGGCGTCAGGCGTCTCACGACTTCTTCTTTTCTTTGTCCCTGATAACTGCTACGAACCAGGGTGTGTGTGTGTGTGTGTGTGTGGACTTGCTGGCGCGCGGGAGACAGGGACCAAGCTGGACTAGGGAATATCAGCCAGCCCTTTTATTTTGTTTCTCTCTTTCGTCAATTCTCTCCAGCTTTAACCCATGTTGGTACGGAATAATAATAGTGCTACTGCTCTCATAATCCTGGGCAAATCCAAGTCTTCAACCCCCCCTCCCTTTCCCTTCCACAGCCTGGTTTCTCATCATTTGAACCTGGCTTGTTGCCCGGGGTGTTACATGCAAGGACCTGCAGCTTGCCTTTTAGCGTACCGTCTTGTCGGGTTCAGTTTCGAAATGTGGACTTGGCCCGGACGGACCTGGATTACATTTCGGTTGTTGTCTATCTACTCTCGCCCGCCTCTTTATAATCTACATCCACCGTTGATCAAACCGTGGCGCTAAAACAGCTTCCTTCATACACAGTCGGTAGCAATTTCTTTACGCAAAGCAGGAAAAGGCGGGAAACAGACGAGAAAAAGTATATAAGTGTTCAGTATCAGCTTGATGCATGACAAGAGAGAACAATGTAAAAAGGAAAAGAAAAAGAAAAAGAAAAAGGGCAGTACATACCCACTGCAAAAAAAAAAACCGCCCATTTTCGAACGGCCATTGCCCGGAAAACCCGAAGGCACTCAAATTCCTGTCAAGAAATCGGGAATGATTATGATGGTTGCCAACACATTTTTCGGAAATTTGCAAAACCACCCAGGGTGGATCTTTCTGTTCACAAGCTTCTTCTGTCCTTTTCACGGTTCGGATGCCTCCAAAAATGCCTTTTGTTCTATGCCACAAGCTCATTCTTCTGCAAAAGGTGGGTTTTTGATTTCCATGAGAAACCTGTTAATACTATGTAGGTTAGTGTTATCCACAGTCACCACTTAGAGGGGCGAGGGAATCATGAGTTGCCCCGAAACAGGCGTTTCTTTCCTTTCCGCCTGCCCCCTTTAGATCGTGAAACTAGTTCTTTCGTGACAAGAAAAACGCATGTCCTTTCAGTGGAGTGTAAAGGTCCCGCGAATACATTTTCGTTCGGGGCGCCCGAGTAACTGATTAATGTTGTGTTCTAGGGTATGTTTGTCTCTGACAGCCTTCGGGAAAGGAAGCCCGGGGAGTGTGGGTTTATCTCAAGCCAGGTATGATGACTGCATAACGCGAGGGCGACGCCTTCTGCTGGCAGGACATTGAGATATGACTTGCAGGTGAAGCGACAAGGGAATGAACCTTGGCAGAGTCATCTATAGGAACTTGCATTTGTAGGGCAGTGCACTTACCCTGAGTTTTTCTTCTTTTTCCTGTAAGAGATGATCGTGTCTGCAAAACGAGCTCTTTTTCTTGCTCACCCTTTCCGCCGAACTATATCTTTTCCTGTCCCAAATTTGGAAAGGCTGGTCCCGAGTCCCGACCCCATACAGGAGTATGTAATGCAATAGGTGGGGATCCCTGTCACTAGATAACAAGATTTTCAAAGCATGATACAGACCCCAGATCACAAGACAGAAAATATAGGTACTTTTGATCGTGTTCTTCTAATATACTGTGTTGAGGAGCCCGTTTCGCTTCAAGGGAAGTAGCCAGGAGAGGTTATGGTCTATCTGGCGCTGGGAGGCACAGGCAGCAAGGAGAGGGGATCGACATACCGACGAAAACGACCCACTTAGCCGTGTACATACTGAGTATTCCGCAGGTAGACACCATATATATCCCGAAAAGGAACATGACGAGAGCCTTGCCTCCTTCATGCAGGAGATCCAGGTTGTGGTTGGATTACCGACAGCTTGGAAAGGACTTGACATTTGTAGTGCCGCGGAAGCAAGGGGACGAGGGTCCGCCGTAGGCAATCGGGTAACAAAGTGCGAGCGCCAGGATACCAAAGCATTATGCTTTCCATCATGTAGTTTTGGAGGTACCTAGTGATCAGAAGAACTCCAAAAGAAAGATGCTCATACCACCCAAGCAAAAACTGAGAAGACCGGGGGGATTGGGTTGTGGGGATGGTGTGTCCATCGGGAAGAGTTTCAGGCATGGATCCGCATGGAGGCAGGATTTCAGAAAAAACAGGGCAGGTAAAACAAATAGATGGATCCCAAGATCCTTATCGATGTAAATAGAGCCAGTGATCAAGAAGATACTGGCAGTCAAGTACGGAAGTTTGTTTTAGTGTCATGACTGATCCATGGTTTCGGGCCCAGACGCTCTCGGCCATTGTCGTGATCAGGTAAGGCGCGGTACGTACGTGCGTACTGTTTATGGTGGTCGTCCTTGGACCCAAATGACTGGGTCAAGGGAATTGCCCTTGTGGGTGTTTTTGGTTCCGATATCCTTGGGTTGATCCAAAGGTTCCCACTCGCTTTCTCTCCTCTGCTGCAAACAAGCATGGAAGCAGAGAATCCAAGGTATGGCTGGTATCGTGACGCCATCCGTATACGTCAATATCTACATACAAGAGCAATTACTTCATGTATCGCCATTGGCTTATACGCCTTGCTCTTACCGCCATTCTGTAAAACAAATCACGACTTCTTTTCTTGCCGCTTCCAAAGAAGAAAATATGGAAACGAAAAAAACAAGTAAAAGAAAGAAACCAGTTCATGGGCATAAAAGGCAAGTATATGTCGATAGAAGGCGAGTGAAGAGCATATCGCCGCCAATGGGATTGCTAGGTAGCGATAACGTCAAGGCAAGATGCGCCGTGAACGAAAGGAAACCATGTCGCACAAGCGAGCAAGCAGGAGATGCGTGTCAACAAAATATGACCGGTCTGGACGTGGCATAACCATGGACAATCGTTTGTGCCCAAGGGAAGTGGGCAGATGCTGATCCTCCTACCATTACCTCAACGGCGACCGAAAATCGAAAAGGGCCGGGGATGTCGTGTCTCGCTCGTTCAGAAGCAAGTCAGCACAATGGCGGTGACACATTTCGTCTGCGGAAGGACGCAGCTAATTTAGAATTCATGTCGGTTCTATCAGCTGATACATGCATCACACCTACACCTCTCGGGCATCCCCTGGGACCGGGAAACTAGCGAGGCGGCAAGTGTGAGGTTCGCTTCCTGGACGGGCCCGATGGTGGTCAGCAGGTTGAGAGGGCACGGCTAAGCATAACTCGTCCGAGGTTGTGGATGTTGAGGAGTGGAGGCGAGAGCTGCGGCGTGGGTGACTGTTCCTTGGGAAAGTTTGCGTTTGACCAATGGTGTCCAGGACTTTGACCCGGCGGTTTGGTTCATTATTTCGGGTTCCGTCTCGGATCAACTTCCCTGAATGGAATATTGAGGGGTTGATCGGCAATGCTCCTGTGTGTCCTACAAGCAAAGGCCCAAGCAGAAGTGCAACGACTTTGTGGAAGCAGTGTTGTAGGCGCTGCGTACCCATTACTTCGACGTCGCAGAAAGTGACTTGAGTATCAATCATGAATTTTGGTCACTCATGACAGATTTCTTGACCATACCGAAACGGGGCCATGGCTGTCAATGTCCACTAAGATCAGCAAATGTATGTTTCCCTGAATGGGCTGCCACAAATACGTACAGACCCGCACCTACTCTTGTATACAGTCTAAAGCAGCAACCACAGCAAGTCTAGTTTGAAAGGACTAATGCGGCCTTTCAAGATCGCCGTTAACATAATGTCGAGAGACCTGTATCCATGTTCTGCTCGCCGCGTGTGGTGTTTGAGATGCGCTCTCAGCAATGAGCACATGACTGTGAGAGGCAGGACTGAAAGTCTTCAGTGTTGACAGGAATTACTTCCCAATTGTTTGACACGCCGGTGGGTGGTGGGGTTCCTCTAATGCTCTGAGCCAACTACCGAAACGTGAAGAATGGACCCGTCCTCGATTGGTCGCTTTCGTTGCGGATATGTTATCAAAAGAGCCATGGCAAACATGCCCGAGTGGCCGCCGAGAACGGCGGTTCCTGGCTAATCGTGCTCTGGTACCTGCGACGAATGATGTGCCGGCTAATGTGATGGTATCG